CAAATTGCATGTCAATTTGGAAAATTTAAATTAAAGAAAAATTATTTTTTAAAAAACTTTTTTAATTGTAAGTGGACACAATAACATTACTTTATTTATTTATGTTTTTATGTGGTGCTGAGGATCAAACCCAATGCCTCACACATGCTAGGCAAATGCTCTACCACTGAACTACAACCTCAGCCCCTAAAGAAAAATGCTAATAGTTAAGAGTGAAGCTTATTTACATTGCTTGGGAGTGTGCTGTTTTTAAGATAAAGCCCTCCAGATTGTTAGGTTGTAATATCCTCATTTACTATACAAGAAAGAGAAATACAGGTGGTCCGGTGAAATTCCAGGAAGAGAGCAGGCCACCATTGTGCTTGTCACTCCAGGAAAGTAAAACTGCCTTTTCTGGATGATTGCCTAGTAAAAGTATATGTGAACTGGGGATGCCTTTAAGCCAAAGATGACTTAACTCACCAGAAACCACAAGACTGAAAACTCTTAGTTTTATCTGGTTAGGTAAAGTATCCATTCAGAATACTGTGTCGTTTTTTGACTCATGGGTATATATAGCCATTATATCTAATTAGTAGTAAGATAGATACTTAGATTTGATCACTTATCAAGTGATATCTTTGAGAACTGTAATATTTAATGTAATTTCTCCAAATTTTCCAATCTGGATGTTGAGCTTTAGTCATAAGGTTATTATCTGTAGGTACCTACAGATGTCAACAACTAGTAATAATTGACTTCCAAAGCTAGGAGAAAACCATCTGAGTTAGAAGAGTAGAGAAATGTGTAGAGTTGGGAGAGATTGCAGAGGGGATCCATTCCAGGGCTAGAAAGTGGGTTTCAAGAGATGCTCTATCTCCATCCATTGGCAGAATTTTTGTCATTGCTATGTGCAGAAGGGTACCAAAGCCCCATCTGGACTCCTGGGAAAAGAGTACTCTTATCCATTAATAGTTTGCCATCAGCAAGACCCAGTTATAGTCTTGAACCCGTACTCTGCTTGCTCTACAGAGTCTTACATCCTTGCTCAAAGAAGAGAAAATGGAGACTCAAATGACTTAAGAGCCTTTCCCGAAGTCACCCACCTAGTTGGTAGCCATGCTGATGTTTAATAGGAATATCATTGTTTCCAGTCCATAATAGGCTTCTACAGTAGATTCTAGACAACTGATCTGGGTTCTGAGGGCCAGAAAAAAAAGTATCTCCAGTATAAGGAATGGACCACTCTGTCATTTTCTTAAAGACTATAGGATTCAAATGTTTAAAATACTCAGTAAGAAAGGATATGGTCTATTTCAGAGAGCACTGAGTCTTTTAACAGAAATCAAATTCTGGGAAACAGGAAAAATAGGAGTCATCCTAGTAGTCTCTGCTTGAGCTAATCCATGTTGCCTGTTAGGCAAAAGGAAGAATAGACCAGAAGACAGCTAATTGAAATTGATGACCAGGTTTGCCTGTGACACATTCCGAAAAAATTCTTGTTTTGAAGACTGGCTCTGATCTGGTGGTTCAGAGGAGGTGTAGAATCAAGCAAAGCCTTGTGAAGTTGTTGTATTTGCATTTGGTTTTTGTTTACTCATTGAGAAAGTACGTGGGCAGTTATTGGTGTGTGTGTGTGTGTGTGTGTGTGTGTGTGTGTATGCGCACGTGCACCCATGTGCATGCGTAAGTAATGTGTTCTAGCTGAAGCAATTAGGTAGTAAGCAGGTGACATTTGAAGAAAGAGCATGTTCAACATTCTTAGCAATCAGGGAAATGCAAATCAAAATTATACTGAGATTTCATTTTATTCCAGTTAGAATGGCAATCATCAAGAATACAGATAACACTAATTGCTGGTGTGAATGAAGGGTAAAAGTACACTTATATATTTCTGGTGGAATTGCAAATTGGGATAACCATTTTGGAAAGCAGTATGGAGATTCCACAGAAGACTAGGAATGGACCCAGCTATCCCACTCCTTGGTATGTATCCAAAATAACTGAAATCATCATGCTTTTGTGATTCATGCATACCAATGTTTATAGCAGCAAAATTCACAATAGCCAAGTTATGCAACCAGCCTAGGAGCCCATTGACAGATGAATAGGTTAAGAAATTATGGTATATATACACAGTGGAGTTGTATTCAGCCATAAAGAAGAATGAAATTATGTCATTTGCTGGTAAATGGATGGAACTAGAGAACATCCAACTAAGTGACATAAGCCAGACTCAGAAAGTCTAGGATTGAATATTTTTTTCTCATTAGCAGAAGCTGGGGGTAGGTATAAAAAAAGGGATCTCATAAAAATAGAAGGGATGCCAATAGAGTAGAGGAAAGGAACCGAGAGGGAGGGAGAAGAGGATGGCATGAGGAAGTACTGGAGAATGAATGGAATCTATAAAATTATGCTGTGTCCACATATGAATATACTCCAGTGAATCCTGTTTATTTTTAATATTTATTTTTTAGGTGTAGATGGACACAACACAATGCCTTTATTTTTTTATGTGGTGCTGAGGATCGAACCCAAGTCCCGCCCGAGCTAGGCGAGTGCTGTACTTCTGAGCCACAATCCCAGCCCTGTGAATCCTGTTTTTATACACACACACACACACACACACACACACACACACGAGTGCACTAAAATGATAATAATAATGATAGAAGAGAGATCAGTAGAGTAGAGCAAGTGAATGGGGGCCTTCCCATGCACTTTTGAATTCAATTGGTATGCATGTATCACAAAAGCATGCTGATTTTAGTTATTTTGGATGAATACCAAGGAGTGGGATAGTTGAGTCATATGTGGTTTTCATTCCTAGTCTTCTGTGGAATCTCCATACTGCTTTCCAAAATGGTTGTCCCAATTTGCAATTCCACCAGCAATGTATAAGTAAGTGTACCTTTTCCCCTCCATTCACACCAGCAATTATTGTTATGTGTATTCTTAATGATTGCCATCTCATCAGTAGAGTAGAGCAGGTGAAGGTGGGGAAGGGAAGGTGCTAGGGAATGAAATGGATAAAGTTGTTATATGCATGTACAAATGTATCATAAGAATCCCACTATAATGTATGATTATGAGGTACCGATAAATAATAATAATAATAGAGATATGGAAATAAAGGAGAAGAAAAGTAGGAGTAGAATGTGTTAATATTAATCAGTTCATTGGTATCCCCAGGACTTGTATTCATGGTTCCTACAGAAAACGTGCATTATAACATGCTCTGCATTTAACAGTCTGCCATTTATCAGTCACTGGGCCATAATAATGACTGACATTCATGGAATGCATGATATATGCCAACAGTGGACTTTGAATACATTATTTTAATGTCAGCCATTCCAAAGAAGTATGTGATGTCCTTGCCTGCTTTATAGTGGGGAAACAGAGGTTCACATTAACTGCAAGGGAATACTGAAGATTCAAACCCAGGTTTGATCTGATTCTAAAGCTACCACCCATAGCCATTAGCATAATACTGCCCTCTCATCCAGCTTCTCTGAACCTCTGTTCTTATCTGTGAACTGTAGATAATACCTAGAGAAGCACTGGAAGAACCAGATTTTGTGAAAACTTTAAAAATTTGTCAAGTACTACTCCGAAATAACTTGCTGGCCTGGGGTTGTGGCTCAGTGGTAGAGCGCTCACCTAGCATGTGTGAGGCACTGTGTTCAATTCTCAGCACCACATATAAATAAATAAAATAAAGGTGCATTGAACAACTAAAAAAGATTTTTTTTTAAAAAAGAAAATAACTTGGTATTGTTTATAAATAAGGATTTAAACCATGAAGGAGCATTTCATTGTTGTATCATTTATTCATAGCCAATGAGCAATGTTATGTAGTTTTGCTAACAAGTTATTTATTTTCATCCTTTATGGTAGTTTTTTTTTTTTTCAAATGCATCATTGATTATTTAGCTAGCTACAATTTAGGCTTTGCTCTCCTATCATAAATGTATCCTTTTCCCTAAACAGTCATGCTTGAGGGGACTGAGTAATTAACTTTCAAAATAATTACAGTCACACAGTAATAGATACCACCTACAGGTCTTTTGAATGCTCATTATTTTGGCATGAACATAGTTTATCAATTTTCATATGTCTCATTGTTAACATACTAAATCTTAAGGACAAATTTGCTGAGCATATTAGATGTAAAGTATTAGTACCACACAAACAAAAAGGGAACTTAGCTTAATTGTTGCCAGTTAATCCAATGCAGACTTCAAAGCCATGTTTAAAGACCTTTGAAGCAGTAGATCAATTAAGGGGATGGATTTTCGCACTATGAGTACATTTCCCCTTCTCCATTCATAGGACTATTTGATGGTCCAAAATATAGCATAGATATCTAGATCTTCTGTTTATATAGGGTAATTAAAATCTTGAAACCTAATGAATGTTTTATGATGTTTAATAAGAAGTATTTGTTCTCACAGAAATTAAGAGAAATTTGAACACCCTACTGAAATTCATGGCACAAAACCAGAAATTAACTAATTAACTTAGTTTAATGGACTTTAGAAAATGACCCTTCGACTTTCTGAGTAAGGATTAGAATAGAAAGTTCTAAATGAGGTTCTGCCTAAAACAGGAAGCAGGGCTGATGTTTCTGGGCTTGGAATCTTACAGCCTGGGGAGCGTAGGTGGGGCATCCAAAACATGGCCATTGTGGATCCTCTTTCACCATCAGGATTTTTATATTTCACAATATTTGAGGCTTCCGAGCATCACATCATCTCTGTTTAGGAATCACTCCCCATCCTAGTCACCTGTACTCAGTGACACCATTGACATTTGGTTTTATTCTTTGTCTGTTGGGGTCGGCTTTTATAAGTCGAGGCCCCACTTTGTAGGTAGCCTTTTTATTCAACAGGAGATGATGGTGTGAACACACATAAACAGTGGCAGCACACAGCGTCTGAAGTTTTACCAAGTTTTATTTGTTCCAATTGGGAGAACTTCCTTGTGGATGTTGACTTGTTTTTCTGTTGTTTCCATAGAAACGCTCCAGAGGGCAAGTGCTGTTTGACAAAGTGTGTGAACACCTGAACCTGCTAGAAAAGGACTACTTTGGCCTCACGTATCGAGATGCTGAAAATCAGAAGGTGAGAGAGAAGAGCAGTGCGAACTGTTGTGGCTTGAATTGCTCCCCCAGGAAAATCCAGAAGGGTTGATCACTTTGGCCACCCTCCCTCACACGCCTACTTTTATGACTTAGCATCCCCAAATACTGTTCCTCACCCCTTTTCTTCATGAAAGAAATCCTGGCCAGCTTCCTTTATTCTTGAATATCTTGAAAACAGTAAGTCAGCTCTTCTGTTTTTCATCCTTGAGTTATTTATGGCTCCAGCAAAGTATTTTATTTGGTGTTTTTTTTAGATAATATATATTTCAGTGGAATTTTGAGCCCAAGAAATACACTTTGATTTTTATGAAGAAAACGTGTTCATGCCCTCAAATTCTATGAAGATATTACAGTTGTAACATAAACTGTTGGAACAGTTCACTACTGGGGCTCCTGTCTTCCTCTTGATTCATCTTCTTATGTTTTCATTTTCTTACCGAATCAAAATAGGAGGTGGTGCATTTGCTAACCTGATACCTATAATTTCATAAGTTCTTAATATTTAAGGCAATACCTCTATAGGTGCTTACACTTGAGGAAAGTCATCTGTTTAAAACTTTTCCCCACAACTACCTGAAAAATAAGGAGAAGATTGTTTCCATTGTACTAGTGCTAAAAACTAAGTCACATAAGTTTTGCCCATAGATGTTGCTTACTATTGTGGTGTCAGACTCATTCTTACTGAATTTACTAGACAGTGTCTGACTTCATTATTAAACATCTGGCTTCTGTAATGAGGAAGACCACTGATCTCAAACAAGTATTCATTTGTTAGAAAAGGTTTAAGAAGATGCCTAAGCATCTGTGATGATATAAGTCACTAACGTAGAAGTGAATGTTTAGAGCCAGTGGGTGTCAGGATATGTAAATCTTTTAATTTATTTTGGAAACTTGTTTGAATTCTGATCTTCTCCCATTTTTTGCCCTTCTGTGTCTGTGCTAGCAGAGATCCCTGAAGGTAATGGTTGTAAAAGAAAAATGTCAAGCATGAAGGCACATGTGCGTATTTTCTCCTTAGGCCAGTGTCCAGACCCTCACAGGGCAGGGCCAGGCGGAGGCCACCAGAATTGAGGGAAGGGTGGGGAAAGCATTGTGGGAATGTCTGTATCAAAGCAACATTAAATCACCTTTATTCTTCTCTGATTCCAATTCATAATGTTATTTCCTTTGCAGAATTGGTTGGACCCTGCTAAGGAAATTAAAAAACAGATTCGAAGTAAGTTCTTTTGTATTATTTTACGTGGCAAGGTAAAGATATTTAAGAGAGCCGCTTAATCTGAATTGGTAGCTCATACCCAAGTGGCCAATGTGAATAGAGGTTTTTGAAAGACAGATTACAAGTTCATATTTGATCTGGCACATTGATCCAGCTCAGACAGAACCCATTTTTTTTGTCATTATAACTCAAATTAAAATAACTTTGACACTTGACCTATTCCTCTGCCTGTACACCCATGTGAAATGTATGATTTAATTATGTCATGCTCCGTTGGCAGTTAATCATTAAAAGTTCCAAATTTAATTATTAATGTTGTATTAAGCCTAATTGTCACAAACACTTAAAAACCAAGCTAAAAGCAGTAGTCATTTGATACTTTAAAGATGGAATAACAAATCAGAACGAAGTTTATTGTCTGGTGACAACCTCTTTTCTTAGTCCCTGAAAGTGAATTAATAAATATATATTTCCCAAAAAAAAGGGAAATATATATTTTAATGAATATATAAAAAATTCCATGAGCACATCTCAAAATTGAAACATAAGTGGCCAATAAGCATTATTAAGTTGCTAAATCTAATGACCAAATGCATTTTAACCTGAGAAATCATTTTCCATCTGTTTGGATTAACAAAGATTTTAAAAGTTTAATATGTTTAATAATAACTGCACTGACTACTAAGAACCCAACGGGTAGAAGTATAAATTGGTGCAACCTCCCAAGGGAGCAGTTTGTCAGTATTTATTAAAATTTAAAATGTACCTACTCCTTGACCTTCCATTTTACTTGAAGAAATTAATTCAGCATATGTGTTAGAGAAAAAAATGCAAGTGTGTACACAAGTGAAAGTTCATTACAGTGCTGTTTGCAGTAGCAGGAAACTAGAGGCAAGTTAAATACCCATTTATAAAGATGATTAAATCAATCAGGGAATAATCATAGACAGATGTCTTTGGGTTTATTAGTGAAAATCAGGTTGAAAAATCATATCTGTAATATAATCACATTTGCTTTTTAAAAGTTATGCATACATAGAGCCGGGTGCAGTAGCACACACCTGCTGTTTGGGAGGCAGAGGCAGGAAGATCACAAGTTTAAGGCCAGCCTTAGCAACTTAGTGAGGCCCTAAGTAACCTAATGAGATGCTGACTGATTAAAAATCAAAAGGACTGGGCAATGAAATGAATCAGATATAACTTTCCTATGTTCATATATGAATATACCACAGTGAAGCTTCACATCATGTACAACCGTAGGAGTAGGGTCCTAATTAGAATAAAATATATTCCATGTATGTATAATATGTCCAAATATACTCTACTGTCATATATAGACGATATATAACAAATTAATAAAAAAACATAATGCACATAGGAAAAATGGGGGACTGGGGATGTGGCTCAGTGATAATAAAGCTTTCCTGAGGTTCAGTCTTCAATACCAAAAATCACAAATAAAATGTTATGCTTATATAGAAGCATGGGATATTTGTAGAAAGCATGACAGATTAACAGGAATTAACTCCAGGAATGGCCTGCACAATTGAGAAAGGAGGTTTGCTAGTTTTATTTTTTAACATTCTCTATAGCTATTACATTTGCCATAAGCATGGAAAATCTTTATTGTAACTAACTACTTTTTTAAAAAAAAGGTTCATATTTTTATCAATAAAACTAAGGATAATTAGCTTAATTATCCTGAATAACTAATTCAAGTTGAAGAATAAAGAATAAATTTAAGATCAAATAATTAATGGGAATATCCTTCCATTTTAAGTTTTCCAAGAGTTTACTGTTAAAAGAGAGGAAAATACTTCTTAGTGCCTTTGAAAGTCCTGAGATATAAAAATAACCCAGGTACTAATAAAACAATTGGTAATGAGCAGTTAGAAATGGTTTGATTTTAGATAACATCCCTCCAAAAGTCACTGTCTTCTAGATGTTCGAGAGTCTGTTGATTATTTATACAATTCAACATCATTTACCATATTCTGAAGAGAGACTCAGTGTATCCACTGATCAATTAATTGGATGGAAGTAGTTTGAGATTGAAGACAGGAATATCTACTGTTGATAAATAGATCAAAACACTTTTTTTCTTGTTCCAAGGAATCCTAATAAAAATTTTATGATGACAGATGTGTTCTAAAGGTTTTATATGGCATTATTAAAAGCAGATGTGAAGAATATATATCATAGTGTTTTGCATAATGTTATCTTGTGTACATCTAACTAATAAAATGTCCAGGCAATCAGTAATTGCAAAGTGCTTTGAAAATACGTAAAATGCTCAAGAATAAGTTGTAATACTGTTACAAGAAAGGTGGTATAAACTTTTTTGCATATTGTTAGTAGAATTTCTTTTTCCCCCTTACTTTTCCATTTATGCTGTCTCCTGTCTTCTTGAGACACAAAATTTAAAATGATAATCTAAGTATGAAATGTAAATGATATTTTTTTTACCATGCAGGTTAGGAAGTCATGTGAATCATAAATTTAAAAAAAAAAAAAAAAAGCTTTGTTGCAAGAGAGGAGCCAAAGGAAATTGGAAGTTATTAAGAGTATAATTTAGTATTTTTTTTCTATCTTCTTGTTTCCTATCTACTAAAATGTCCTCTTTCCACAAAATTTCTTCCCACCAGAGCAGAGAGGTGTTATATTATATAATCATTTGCCATCACACATTTCTTCCCAGAGATGACAAAGGATCCTTTTTTATTCTGTAGGTCCATAGTAGACTCTAGTAGAGATCAGTTAGAGAACGGAGATCAATCTGATATACATTTTAAGTTACAAATTTGTGATACATGGTAAATTTTAAAACCAAAAAGTTTGTTCTTAATAAAAAAAAAACAAAAAACTCTAACTCTAGTCATGTTTAATGCATGCCGGATCTTAAAAACCTCTAAAAATACTATATTTTTTATCATAAGTAAAGCATATTTAAAATATGGTAATTTTATGATATAGAATATATGGTCTATAGTAATTTCATGATATAAATGAACTTTTAAGATTTGGCCTGCTTTAGGAGAGTAAAATTAGAAATTTTTTGTAAGAATGAACTCCCTTCAATGCCTTTTCTGTTTATCATAAATTTGCAATTTAAAAATCCTACATCAGCATTATAGAAATATTCGTTTTAATGTGTTCCAGCTGTTTCATTTCCTGTTTCTCACGAGGGCCCTCATCTGAGCAGATGTGGGTCTACAAGTCACTCATCGCATAAGTGCCACTTTCTTGTTTCTGCCACTTTCTTTACAAGGATGTGTATTTGAGCTTTATCTTCTTTTCTCATTAATCCCAGGTTTTATGCCTTATTTCACTGACTTTTTTCTTGATTGGAATGTAGATTGTAGTTTCCATAAACTTTCCCATCATTTCAAAATAATGCCCTGAAAGACCTTGTAGTTGCTTGGGTTATAACCTTACATTTGGATTTCTTAGTAGTAGTGATTTTCACTGTGGTTCCAAAGTCTACCTCCGTCAAAAGCACAAAAGATATTAATAAAATTACGAGTTCTAGACCATATTCCAAGTCTCAGGAATAAAAATCTCTGGAATAGAGCCTAGAAATAGGCATTTTTAACATGTTATTTCAGTTTCTTTTTAGGCCCACTATTATTTGCAACATACTTTCCTAAAATGAGGATTTTTGCATTGAAATGGGTTGCTTATGCTTTTATTACTTACTGTTTTCCAACTTAGAATTTTTACCCTGAGTTTATTATAAGATTGTTTTAATTACATTGCCAGACTATTCATTGGAGTCGAGGCATACTTTGAAGTCGATGAAAATTACAAAAGAGCAATAAATCCGTTTCCCATAACTAATCCATTACTTTTAATTTCACTTGAGGGAAAGCCAGCTCTTGTTATGAGTCTTCCTACTGGCAAGCGTTAAAGGGATCTATTTTAGTAGGAAGTGAGCAGGAATCAATAGGAAAGTAAAACCAAATCAGACTAATTTTAGAATAAGAAAAGGATTTTTTTTTTAAGAACAGTGGAAAAAACAACCGTTAGAAATATATTTGATTAACAGATATTTTTTGGCTTATAATTCTTATAGCCCATATTTGAGTAATATTTTGACTGGTTTACATTATGATATTAACTACCCAATGATATCTGATCCTATGCTAATTCCTTTATAGTAGAGTTCTTGGCATGTGGAATCTCAAGTGTGGTATAAATAATAGCATCAAGAATAAACTAGAAAGAATAAATGGGTCTGTGTATTTTATGACAGAAACGTAGGGTCCTGAAGAAGCTAAGTGTTGCCACACATACAAGAAAGAGTACAAAGAAAGCAGCTAAGAAATATTTAACTTTACTGTACCTTTTTTTGGAGAGTGTTGGGAGGTGCTTCTAGGGAAAAAATGAAGTTTCCAAAGTCATTTAATTGGGATGGGGAGAGCATTTGGAAGTCTTGAGAGAGTACCTGAAGCATAAGTGCTGTTCTGTAAGGTCACAGAAGCATGGCTTCAGAGCACACCCATGGATAGAAGCCAGTGAGCCTGGGAAGACTTTTCTGGTAGTCCATTCGGAACATAAGCAGGGCCAGAGGAACTTCTAATGTGTTTATGGGGTGGAGGGTAAAAATTATTTATAAATAGTGTCACAGAGAAGAAATATTCAAACTTTGGTAAATTAATACATTGAGAAGCCAAAATAACAATATGAATAAGTTAAAGGAGTTTTCACACAGATAAAATAAGAGAAGGAGAAAAGGAGGTTTATTCTTATTTGTTTTGATAAACCATTCACAATTAAAGATGGTATTGATGAGATATGGAGCTTAGTTAAGGCTAAATAATGTTTCAAGGATAATGGTAGCCAATGCAGAGAGTTAGGTACCTGTGAAGGAACATCTCTTAGACCCTTTCAGCTGCTAGAGTAGATACTGCAGGATAAAGAGTGGTATTGTAAAGATCTGCCCAAGTCATGGACTAAAGGGGTGTAAATTTGGGTAATGCACGGCCAGGTATGTATTGCATCAAAAATTTTCTTAAATAAAAAATAAAAAAGAACATTTCACATCCAGCAGAGCAGCCCACTTATGAAAGCAGTATTCACCACAACAAATCTTTCCATAAAATAAATTGTGTTGACTAGTCCCTTGACATTTATTATAATAGGATCTGACCTGTAACAACACAATGAAGCGCAAAGAAAATTGGAATTGGGTCCATAGCCTTGGTATGTGAGCTCTCCAGAAATTCAGAGCAGTAAATCTCGTCATTTCCAGACTTATCTGATAGAGGATTATCCATATCATTCACTTTCCCTCCCCCAACTTCTTCCTGAGGCTTATCTTTGATCCTGGGAAAGAGAGGAAGTTCCGTCAATTTCCTTTCTAGTTAGAAGGACCAGTAAAGGATTTGATAATAGAGAAGATTAGAAATTAGATGAGGTTTCAGACTTATCTGTGGATTTCATTTAACAGAGATGTCCTTGTTTTCTATTAGTGATCAAAGCTGCCTGGCTGTTAATGCTTAGAGTTGAGATGGTTCTAGCTATCAATTAGAATCCTAAGTCTAGGGGAGTTTTCTAAGGTTTTAATCTGATTCCCCCACCTTCTATCCTTACAGGTGGTGCTTGGCAGTTTTCATTTAATGTGAAATTTTACCCACCAGACCCTGCTCAGCTATCTGAAGATATCACCAGGTATTTGACGATTGGTGATGAATAGGAAGCCATACTGGGAATGTGGTGTGGCTCCCAACATCTCCAGAGAAGAGCACACTTATATCTGGTGGCCTTACAGTCATCCATGCTTGTTTTAGTCGGCTTTTTTGCTGCTGTGACTAAAAGACCCAACCAGCACAATTGTAGATTTATTTGGGGGCTCACAGTTTCAGAGGTCTCAGTCCATGGACAATGGCAGACAGAACATCATGGTGGAAGAGTGTGGTAGAGACAAGCAAGCTCACATGATGATCAGGAAGAAGAGAGAGTGACTCCACTTGCCAGATACAAATATATATACCCCAAAGTCACGCCCCCAGTGCCCACCTCCTGCAGCCACACCCCACCACTTCAGTTACCACTCAGTTAATCCCTATCAGGGGATTAATTCACTGATTGGGTTAAGGCACTCACAACCCAATCATTTCTCCTCTGAACCTTCTTGCAATGTCTCACATGGGAGCTTTTGGGGGACACCTCACCACCATAACAATGCTCAAATGGCAAACAAAAGGCAACTGAATGAAGCACACATCTGATGAGAAGATTTGCCAAATCTAGCTCACAGTTGAATCTTTGGTGCTACGCTGATATTTCTGGCTGCCTGACCCTGGTGGGAAAACATGCAAAATTGAGATGCTGTCACCCACCCACCACAGTCAAATTCAATGAGATTCAGTCTTCAATGATAAAGCAATTCTTAAGTGTGCCTGCTTTAAAACTTAGAGGCAAAAAGTCTTTAGATGTTTATGCTCTGCATATAATCAACCTCTCATCTGTCTAAAAATAAAAATAACATTCATATCAATTTAAGGTTAACTTTTCATGCCCAGTGTATATGAGGAATATGATTAATTTGTTTTCTGAAATAAAGATGTTAAGAATCTGACATAAAAATATCCCAGCTTGGTGGCTGAATTTAGAGTGTGAAAAGGGATTTCCTTTATAAAGCAGTGCTGGGTAGCTTATTCTGTTCAGGCTGCAATCATAAAATCCCAGAGACTGGGTGGTTTAAAAACAATCGGAATTTACTTCTCATAGTTCTGGAAGCTGAAAGTTTGAGATCAGAGTGCAAGCAGGGTCATATTCTGGTGAGGGTCTGTAGTAGACCACTGGCTTCTTACTGTGTTCTTGCATAGTGGAGGTGGGAAGGATGAGGGGGTCTTCCTCTGGCCTCTTTTATAAGGGTACGAGTCCCATTCTTAAAGGCTCTACCTAATCATTTCTGGGGAAAACAAAACACCTCTAATCCATTACCTTGGTGGGACAGGATTTCAACATAAGAATTTGGGGGATGGGAATGGGGCCACAAACATTCAGCCTGTCATTCTTGGTTTACTGAATGTCCTCCTAGATGGCCCTACATTCTGCTTTGGAGACTCTGACTCTTGCTCTGTTTGGTAGTAAGTTTATGATCATGCAAAACAATTTTGTTCTGTGTGTGAATATTTTTCTATATAAGGCTCCTATTTTTCTTAGCTGTTCATAAAAGAGAAATGACCCAAAACAGCTTTAGTAACTTGCTACAGTAAAAATAATTTCATTTGCTATATTAGAAGGGTAGCAATTAGTTCCAGAGGATTTTTTTTTTCTACTGGCAATAAGTCAGAGAAAATTTATAATTTCTTATAAGCAGACACTTTTTTGTCAATATTGAAGAACTATTTCATCGTGGATGGTCGTGGAAACCAAATATACTTGTATTTGAAAATTTAGTGTGTGGTTCCCTTCTATCTACTTGTGTAATGTTTGTAGAGTCTGTTAAATATTTCGGAATTTTTATATCTGGGTTACGTGGATTTTACTTACATCAGCACCAAATCACCCGACAGGGGACCTTAAGACTTTGCAATAATAGTCTGTTCCAACAGACTAACTGTTCTTTTTTTATATGGAAGGTGCATGATAAGGTGTTATTAATACTCACCAAGGTTAATACTTAACCTTGAGATCTTTTGCAGTTGGTATTATACCTGTAATGCTTAAGAATAAAATAACAGAGAAGATAAATCAGCTATTGATAGAAATATTTTTATCATATGACAAAATTATATAAAAAATATTTTCTATTTCTTCAGTTTAAAGCTGTTTACTTACAGGGACAAGATTCTCAGATTATAAGTTAATAGTTCCTTGAAATTAATATTCAGGTCAGTTAGATTCTAGGGAGATATCTAAATAAAAAGAAATAACTTAAAGCAGGAGAAAGCATTATTATAAAGAGATGATGTCATCCAAAATGCAGGGAGTTGAGAATAGAGTTTATGAAGGTAGGACTCTTACCTAAAGTCTGTCTTAGTCATGTGGTAAGATCTGTCATCCAGTTATCAAAATCATCCCTCTGTAAGGCTAGTTGGAGCCTAATAATTATATGCAAGAGCATCAATTTTTGAATTATAATTCCACCAACCAGGGGTTTCTGGGAGTGTGTTGAATGAAGACTGTCTTTAAGACTTTAAAAGTTATTTTTATTGATGTGTTATAATTATACATAATAGTGGGATTCATCATTACATATTCATGCATGCATACAACATAGAGGATACGTTTAGATTTCTTCTACTGTGGTTTATTATGACCATTGCCTTCTTCTTTAAATATTATATTTTATAGCCTGGTATTTTCCCCTGATATCTAGATCAAATATAGATGAAACAAATATCAGCATCTGTGAATGGTAGGAAATGTGTCCTGGACAGGTTATTGCACAGGGAGAAATTGTCTACTTACAGTTTTTACTGAATGATCTCCTTTTCATGTGTCCTAATGCTGGCCTTTTATTTTGACCTTTCGGCTCCTGGAAGGTACTACCTCTGCCTACAGTTGCGCGATGACATCGTATCAGGAAGGCTGCCCTGCTCCTTTGTGACCCTCGCCCTGCTGGGCTCCTACACAGTCCAGTCAGAACTTGGAGACTATGACCCCGATGAATGTGGGAATGATTACATTAGTGAGTTCCGCTTTGCACCAAACCACACTAAAGAACTCGAAGATAAAGTGATCGAGCTGCACAAGAGCCACAGGTCAGTGAACAGGAGCATACATTTAACTTGTGCTTTATGGGTGAGCATCAGTTCTACAGCCTGTCTCTTCCCAGTGTTGATTTCAGTACATTAAGAATGGGATTTTTAGCACAGTGGGTCTTTACATGGGAAAGTTCTGGAGTAGGTAAGCTTTCCCTCAGAATAGCCAGGCATCTATTTGTAATGTTGTCCTTCAAAGCCATTTTTCTTGTTATTCTTTCCTCAGATGCTGAGTATCCCTTATCCAAAATGCTTGGGCCCAGAAGTGTTTCAAATTTCAGATATTTTTTCAGACTTTGGAATATTTACATATATATATATAATGAGATGCGTTGGGAACGAGACCCTAGTTTCAACACAAAATTCATTTTATGTTTCATATTCATCTTACACATGAAGTTAATTTATAGTACACCTGGGTGTTGACTAACTGGTCTCATGAGATCAGGTGTGGAGTTTTCTACTTGTGACATCATGCTGGTATTCAAAACTATTCAGACTTAAGATTTTTAAATTAGGAATGGTCAACCTGTATCTGCCAGTGCCTCAATAGATGCTTTCTTATAAATTAACAGGGAGCTCAGTGGGAAATTTTGCAACCCAGCCAGATAAAGGATAAGCAATTAACTAAAAAAGGAAGGAAAATCAGCTAACTGCTTTTTCATTCTAATGAATAAAAGGGAAAGGCAACCTTATAACACCTTTTTTTTTCCCTAATCAGAGGAATGACGCCAGCAGAAGCCGAGATGCATTTCTTGGAAAATGCCAAAAAACTATCTATGTATGGAGTAGATTTGCATCATGCCAAGGTATGCATTTTTAAACCCCCCACTATTTTATTTAATTCAACTCTGTTACCGTAATTCTTATTTTAGTGAATGTAATGGAAATATTGGGGTTGCAAATTTCTGTTTGCCTTGCAAGCCCTATTTCATGTTAAAACAAACTTAGCTCTTTGTTTTTTACTGGAGGGGTTGCTTTTCATGGCTCAGACTCACTCTCCCCATGGGCTAAGCCTCCTGAAAGCCCTCAGTAGACAAACCCTCTGATTGCCTGTTGATTCAGTTGGAAGCTTATCTTGACCAAACAAGCTCTTGGACCCTGCTGCCTTCTCTGTTTTCTCCCACTCTGCACCAACATGCACCCTTTGCTGCCTCTGCACCCTGACTGTGCCTTTTCCCTGAATATGTTCATCTGACATCTGACTTCTCTGCTCTTTCATGTCTGTCTGTCTCAACTTGGTCTGTGTATGTCCCTCATTCTAGAACCCCACCAGGTACTTTGTAAATTCATGTTATATTTTAAGAATTCTGTCTCTTGTGTTTAAGCACTCGTACATGTAACCAGTACTTTGAAATAAGATTATTTTTAAAGTGCAACCAAAACTAGTCATCCTGGCTAAGAATTGCTTTGTTGACTGATAATGGGTGCAGTGTTAGAGATGTATCTTAGCAAGAAAGAAATTGGAATTAAACTGTAGGGCTTCAGTGTTTGAGACACACAGAGCAGCTTTGACCCTGTCATGCTTTTTCTAGAATCTCTGTGCTTTTCAGAAGCCAGAGAATGAGCATGTGGACTACAAGTCTAATATTTTAAAAGCCATGGACAAAGTACTATGGAAATATGGGGAAGATTTTATGAGAACTTTTATCAGCAAAACATATGCAATTTGCTAGGTTTCTAGAGATGGATTCTGATATTTTGGCTGTGTTCAAAAGGTCAGTATTTAAAGTTCAGGGTTATTTAGGGATTGACAAGATAATATCGCTCCTGCATAGGGATGTGGACTTGACCTCTGATAGACAGTCACCAATTTCACGGTCTGGGTCTCACAAGAATGTGCAATTACAGCCTTCCAGGCAGGCAAGTGTCTCTCACAGTCAGTTTTAAGGCTAGAAATGAAGAGCAATTTCAGCTGTCTGTGTTTAAGTAAACATCTCAACAACCTTGATCACCAAACAGAAGAAAATATGTTATTTGCAAGTTTTGTTGCTGCTCTTTGGTAGATGTTTAGGGAGCAAACCAATCCTCCGTGACTTTGGACAGACAGATGGTAGCCATTGAACGAATGTGGGTTTGATTGGTGATGTCTATGGGTGAACTCCTACATCACAGAGAGGAGGACTTCCAATGCCTGAACACCAGCAAGATCACTGGGGTTTGACTGGGGACATGTGTTGGTATACTAACAGCAAGCTCTTTGACATTTATGTGTCATTACAACAGCAGGTGTAGCTGTTTACTTGCCAATTTTTTATTGCATGTTTTCACGTATTTTGCCCTTGGATAATGAAGATGTTTTTCTCTCTTATGTCAGATATCAGTAGAGTAGAATTTCAACATAAAGATAAGACCAGATAATTAAGTTGTTTTTTTTTTTTTCAATTTCTTTTAGAGTTTTTCCCTAGGTGGCTAAAAGATAACCAAAAAGGAAATAAAAGTAGCATGAGAATTTGAGTGAACCTAAAGCTATTTTTGAGTTATACCTTGCACTTTGATGCATTAACTGCCCTCCCCCAAATAAATAGATAAATAAATAAATGATTAGGGAAATGATTGAGGGAAGTGCAACTCAGGTTGTATCAGTGTTCCCATCGGTAAAAATAAAAACACTTCACATTGCTATAGCTACTGAATTAAAATGGATGGCTGCTTTGTCATTCAATAATATGATTTGAAATTATGCCAATTAAGAAGAAAGAATTAAGGAAGTGCAAATGTAGCCCATTATAGGATTTTATCTGAATATTAAGTATAATAAACGATTCATAGACTCCATTTTCTCATGCAGTCACACACCATCATTTCAAGGAGGAAATTTACTGAATTAAATTAGAGACAATTTCCGGTCATGAGCTAGATGCTTCTCCTTCTATTGATGGTATGAAAGTCCCAAAGCTTTATGATCCATTTAAGCATTCTGAATTGTGATCATGGACTCCACAGCTCCATATGAAGAATAAATACCCATATTAGATGAAGGTCCTATGTTTTGGATAATCTATCCCAAAAGCTTTTTTATTTTTTATTATTTTTAATGTTAGGAAGTCTATCTCTGCTTGTTTGTTGTTTAATGTTAGTTGTTTTTTGTTTGTTTGTTTGTTTTGGTGGGAGAGAAGGGAGGAGGACCAGGGATTGAACTCTAGGGCACTCAACCACTGAGTTGCTTAGCACCTCACTGCCATTGCTGAGGCTGGTTTTGAACTTGTGATCCTCTTCTGTCAGCCTCCCGAGCTGCTGGGATTACAGGTGTGCGCCACAGCACTCAGCGCTTAATGTTAGTTTTAATAGACTTTGTCAGAGTCACTTATTTCATGTAAGATACGAAACGTAGATATAAATCCCTGTCAAATACCCCATGGGCCAAGTGATAGTGAAGGATAGCAGTGTGTGAGCCATGATTCTAAATGAAGGGAGTGTCATGGCCACTTATTTTCATTGTGACAGACTGAGACTTTCCGGGTCTACCTCAGGGTCCTGTTAATGGGAGTATAAGTGTGTCTGTTGAGAGTGAATTGGACCTGTCCCCAAGAAAGGCTGGCAGAGCTTTTAATACCAAAGATTTATCCAACTAAGTACTCTGGTCAATAGCAGAAAATTGGGTATGAACATATTTTTTGTCCCTATGCAATTAAAGAAACAGACCCTTCAGCCAGTGTAAAACCCCACTTCTCCTGCCATTTTTATTCCTCATTCATTTTTACTTTCAGCAGGCACACATGAGTTTGATACATGCTGGGCAGGCCTGTGCTGGCCATGAGATTACAAATAGAAAACAGAACTGCTGCTCCTAATCAGCATACAGTCTCCAGGGAAGGAAGACAGGGAGGGAATCTTATTTTAGGACCATTTAGTAAGGTTGTGCTTGTCATAAGAGACTGATTTGGGACCAGAGCAGCATGTTGGAGGACCCAAGAAAAGGAGGTCTTATTCCTTCCTCCTCTTTCCCAGGAGGGGATATTGTTTCCTTGTGATCAAGGACACTAATGGTGATTTAAAAATAGATAAAACCGAAAAAGGTTTTAAATGGCCTTTCCCTCTGTGGACCAAAGGCTCTTTCCTAAACTTACATTCTATATTGAAAAGAAAGTGAACCAAAGAACAGTTATTCAAGCGTTCCTTCCTCATGCCTGCCTTTCTGCCTCCTGGCAGGAGGTGCTCACCTCTGAGGGGTTGTGCAGATGGGCTGGTTCTCAAGAATCAGTAATACCAATAACTTGGGAGCATTGGGTTATAATTCTTTAACTTGCATGGTCACTATAGCCTCTGATAAATAGTGGGCAGTTTCTGATCTTTGGATTCTCTAATTGTATTATATTCTAATATCCTGCCATCCAATAGTTCCACTCCTGTAGAGTAATTCAATATCTAATGGAGTAATATGTTTCCAAGGTAAGATATTTAATTCTAAACCAATTATATTCTGTTAGTAAACTTCCTGTTTCCCAGAGATGGACCAATATATTAATTTTTTATTCTGGTAGTGTTCATCTTATGCCTTGCATCTATAGGATTTAGGAAGTATCTTCCCACTGTAAGCATGAGTGAAAATCTCCTCTCTGAATTCTTAATTTTTTTCCTTCTCTGCTTTGCTGTTATTGCAGAGTAATTCAAAGTCAGGAACAGCCCCGTCAATGATAAGAAGGCCTGAGCATAAGGTGTGACCAGCCCGTGACCCTTTCTGTCCAGATTCCAACAAACAGGTGTAACAAGGCATTAATGCTGCAGCTCACATTCAGTCCTGCCTCAGTATTTTTCACCCAATTCAAGGCTTTGTGCATTTTCATTTTACCCTGATTTCAGTGGAATCCAATATTTAACAGGGACATCATATGTACAATATCCCTCTTAAGTTTAATGTAATAGCTAATGACCTCTAAGCATCACACATTTCTTGGGAAATTATGTAAAAGATGAAATGTCCAAGTAACAAAAGCAAGTTGAAATTATAATAGCATCCCATTTTTGTTTTTTAAAAAACCCTGTAATCATATTTAAAGCGTATGTGCATTTATCTATAGGTGTCATATTATTTAGTGTGATTACCACTGGGCTGTGTTTCCATGTATGGAGGTATATTGGAGGCACTAGGTTTGTATTTTTTTAAAAACTTTCATTTTAAAAATTTTTCTCTGACAATAATAGCAAATAAAGGTTGAGACTCTTTTCAAAGTAACAATACTCAAAATGCTCAAAGGAAAAGACAGGTCCCCTCTTGTTAGTGTCCAAATCAGCTAAAAGCACTGCCAGACAGCATGTGTGCAGTTGAGTCCCCATTTACAGTTTCCTCATCTGTAAAATGGGAATAATAATAGCAACCATCTCAACACAGCATAGTGAAGATTGAAAAAGTTAAAATACATAGGTTAGAGCAGTGTCTAGACACCCCATAGGTAAGAATTACGTGTTATGGTTATTAATACACAGCCCCTGCTTGACCTTTGCTCTGTGCAGCATTTATGCCATAAATCTGAGGTACCTGGGTGAACAAATGTTACTCCAACAAATGTCCACAGTGAAAAATATCATTGTTAAAGACTTACTTAATAGATTGGATAGAGAGAAGTGATGGGAGGGGAGGGAAGGGGAAGGGGGGATAGGAAGCACAGCAGAATAGAATAGACATTATGATTGCTGTATGTATATAGGTGACTGTATGACCAATGTGATTCTGCAATCTGTACAGTCAGAAAAATGAGAAATTATACCCCAGTTGATTCAAATGTATGAATTGCCAAGATCATTGTAATGTCATGTGTAGCTAATAAAAAAAAAAAAAAAAAAAAAAAAAACCTTACTTAGCTGGGTGTGGTGGTGCACACCAGTAATCCCAGTGCATTGGGTGGCGGAGGCAGGAGGATTGCAAGTTCAAAGCCAGTCTCAGCAACTTAGAGAGGCCCTAAGCAACTTAGTGATACCCTGTCTCAAAATTAAAAAGATAAATAAATAAATGAATGAATAAAAAAGGGTTGAGGATGTGGCTCAGTGGCTAAACGCCCCTGGGTTCAATCCCTGGTTCCAAAACAAACAAAGCTTACCCTAAGGGGTGTTTTTAAAAATGTTTATTCAGTATTTTTCATATTTAAATTTTTCAATTGTAGATTCTGTCATGACTTAAATGTTGTACCCAATGAAAAGTAGAAAGAAGAGAGATACTGATATATTGTTTTTGTAATTCTCTAGGATTCAGAAGGAGTAGAAATTATGTTAGGAGTTTGTGCGAGTGGTCTGTTGATATATCGTGACCGGTTGCGAATAAACAGATTTGCCTGGCCCAAGGTTCTAAAAATTTCATATAAACGAAACAACTTTTACATTAAGATTCGGCCAGGAGAGGTAAGTATGCCTTCATTTGCATTTGCATTGGGAAAAAAAGATCCATAATAGCAAACAATAATATAGATTTTTTGCTCACAGATTCTAAGCACCATGCAACATGGTGAATCATGTCTGAATCCTGAGAGAATTTGTTGTAGTTTTATCCAAAGCAGTAATAAATAAAATGTTCTCTTCTTTATTATGTTGTTCTAGTTGAGCTGCATACGCTGAGAGGGTTTTTAAAAATGTATTTGGGTATAAAATCAAGATTCATTAATAATTTTTTGTATATTTCAAGCCGTGATGAATAGATCTCTTCTTTTGTGTCCTGCTGTTATCACTCCTTTTCCTTTTTATTTTTTTCTGCAAGTCTGACTGTACCTTAAAGTAAATAGCTAGAGATGATGTGCTTCAAGATACAGAAAAGTTTAGAACAAAGAATGAGGAGGTGAATAATGTAAATATTCCACAGCCTAGTGCATTTCCAGGGTATTTCTGATTTCTTTTTAATCAGAGAAACTAATAAAAGAATCAGAATTATTAATTCTTACTCCTTGGGCAGCAGCCTCCATGATCAAGTTATATTTATATATTCTTAGTGATTTATACATAATAAGTATTGAATTCTACTTGTATTTGTTTATGAGATAATTAATTATTACCTCCAATTTCTAATTGGTGCCTTAATATACTAGAAACAAAACCCAAAGATTCCAACTCCTATATATCTCTAAATATTTTCTCATTCAATATAGTTTTATCCTGCCTTCAAAATATACCTCTGCCCTGAATTTTTTGGTGGAAAATGCAGTTATAAAAAATCAGAAGATAAAGCTAGCAATCATATTTAACATAAATATGACTTATTAAATATTTTACATTATAAATATGTTAAATATTTATATTAAATATTCAGTTGTCATATGACAACTGAAATAATCTGTAAGCTTTTCATTTAAATACTTGAAACGGTAGTGTTTTAAAAATACTTGCAAAAATTGTTTGTGAAACTTATAGCTGATATGTGTTCGTTTTAATTCATTGAACAACTATTTATTAAACGAGCACCTATTTATTATCAGGCTCCATGGTGGGAATTGGATAGAGAGAAATATGACCTTGTTCTTTTTCTTAAAAGATTTTTCTATCAGAGAAACAGACTCAACCCTTGAATAATAACACCATGATATAAGAGAGGAGATGATCTATGGAAAAGGAGTGAGGGGCTGGCCTTGTGGCTCAATGGTAGAGCACTTGCCTAGCATGTGTGAAGCACTGGGTTTGATCCTCAGCATCACATAAAGATAAATAATACAATAGAAAAGGAGTGAGTTCACTGTGAGGCCACAGGGGGAAATGACCTAGTAGACAGTAGTGAGCAGTGGAAGGCCTTAAGTTGACACACTGGATGAACATTCTGGAATGATGGGTTTCTCAATGAAATGCAGCTACTGAGTGATCATGTGATAAGACCCAAATCATGGCATGGAGGGAGCAATTGGAGATGGGTTTCAGGAGCAGAACCAGTAGTAGGTCTCTGAGACAAGATGAAGGAAGGGATTCAAAAAGGGAAGAATCCACATAACCAGAGGGGTTCCATTTGCATGACTAAAGTTGATGGAGATGATGTCCAACAAGAAAGAGAAAGGGTCAGAATTTGAAGGGGGAAAAAAAAGAGATTAAAATTCCTTCAGGACTAATTTTCAAGAGGCAATTCTTGCCTTGAATGGAGTCATCACCAACCGGATATATTTTACCCAAGTCTTAGATATATGGGATAAATTGCCCAAAGAGCAAGGGAAGTTAGAGAAGAGGCCCTAAAATAAACACTCTGGGTGACACCACCATTTGATTGAGGGGCCAGTATAAGAAAAACAGGAAGACAGCCAGAAATAAAAGAAAGAACAGAGGCTGTGAGATGACAGGTGAGTTTCAGGGCCTAGTGGCTCACCAGCAGTGCCATATATTACAGAGAGGGCACATGGGGTGCAGACTAAGTAAAGCGTGTTGAACTTGATAGTCAGGTCCCATTATGGCATGGAAGAGTTCAGGAACGTGTGAGGAGCCACCTGCCAAGGGTGCATTGAGGCGAGGAGTGAAATAGCAGAGGTGGCTTAGCAGTAAGGAGTGAGGCAGGGTTTGGCTGAAGCAGGCCCCAAATTGGCTTCCCACCCCATCCTGTTTTACAGTCATATTTATAGGCAGGGAAGAATGAGAAGAAATTATTGATAGCATATAGTCTGCGAAGAGGTTGAAGAAAGCAGACACAAAGCACAGAGAAGTAAGCATTCAGAAAGCCTAGGGGCCCAACTCATCCTTGTGTAAAGGAGGATGACAGTAAGACACTCTGCCCCATTAAAAATGTTGATCTCACATGAGTAGAGAGTAGTACTCTAAGTAGTTACCAGGGGCTGCAGAGCAGGTGGTGGAAATGGTGAGAAAATGATCAACCTAGGGGTGCAGTTGGATAGAAGAATGTTCTTTAGCTCAATAGTGTAACTACATGGTCGACAACAATTAAACATGTATTTCAGAATACCCAGTATAGAACATGTGGAATATGTCCAGCACAAAGAAATGATATATGATTGAGGTGGTAGATAAACCAGTTACCCTGATCTGATCAGTACACATTGCCTATATGTGTTGAAATAGCACATGGTACTCCAGGAATATGTACAATTATTGTATGTCAGTAAAAATTTTTGAAAACTTTTGAAAAGCAACATACTTCTAGGCAACTTGCCCCAGAGAGCAAGGTGACTCTCTTTTGTAAGTCTTGGCTTTAGCATAGTGCAGGGGCATATTAAATGCTGGACGGGTAAATGCATAATGCTTTAGTTAAGAGCCAGGGTACTTTTGCCTTGGCCAGCTCCCTAGGACAGCAGCAATTTTTACAACCACCCCTGCCCATGAACATACAGAATGAATAAGAAATTTGGAAGGGCACTTGTGTTGGAGCAACTTGTGATATATTTCCAAATTTCCCCAGTCATCTTCAGCAAGCAAGAAATAAAGGTCAAGGATGATCATGTCTCACATGCCATGCACATGACCCCTGGCCTGTGGTTTCTTGCCCCAGAGATTACTTTTGCTAATGATTGTATCAGTAGTCCAGTTGTTTTGTCATCCTTAATATAAACCTTTACTGTTTAAGATGATTGCCCTCTGGTGGCCTGATGTATACTGTCTTCAGAAACTGAAAATTATTGTGCATCTGCAATAATCGTATTAAAATATATTGTGCAGAAAATCTAATCAGATAACCCATCTTGAAAAACCAAATGGCTGATAGAATATCATATGAAAATATATATGCTGGAAAGTATGAAAATGTGTTCTCCCAATCTCTGCTTATGGATCATATAGACAGATGTTGACATTTAACATTATAATCTATAGTGGAGCACACAGATGAAATCAGAAATATCTGACACCAAGTCATTGAATATTTAAGAAATATGCATATTTCCTGGCAAGATCCTGGGAGGAAATGTCATTTCTAAGCATGCTGTAGACTATATCTATACCTATATTTTGTTCATTTCTGTGCATTCCAGTTCAAGTCGTGTCATTAAGAAACCATGAAAATAAGAAAAATGGGATCAGGAAAAAATTTGATCTTTAGGAGGAATCCAGTTATCTTGATTTTTTTGTATTTAGTTTTTATAAGATCCACACTGATGCAGAAGGCATTTATTGCATGCATGACACGATTATCTACCTTTGCCACATTTTAAAGAGGTAGATGTGGTGATTTTTTACATGAATGTGTATTACATGAATTCTGCATATAGCAATTGCTTTAATGAACAAAGAAAAAACTTATGGGAGTATGATTTTGTAAATTATTTGCAAAGCATCTATTATTCATAATTCCAAACTTGACTCTGTCCATACAAATATGCTTTTTTAAATTTAGTTTGAACAATTTGAAAGCACCATTGGGTTTAAGCTGCCAAACCATCGGGCTGCCAAGCGTTTGTGGAAAGTATGTGTTGAACACCATACATTTTTCAGGTAGGTAGAGATCATTTGGGAGTTGGTTTTTGTTTTTTCCCTAAGGAAGAATTGAAATGACTCGATTGCTTATATTGAAAAGGTTTGGGGCAAGAAGGACAATCTAGAAACATCCTTTCTATTCCTTCAAGTTCATTTTCACCAGATATCTTGATAAGAAATCCTAAAAACACTTCTGAATAAATTTAAAGGATTTACTTCAATTTGTCTTGTACTTATCTGTGTTACTTTTTTTTTTTTTTGGTCTTTTCATTATTTTTATAAAAGAGTGTCCTCTTCAAGTATCCAGTTCATTCCTATTTCAAAAATTTCTTGATACCCCCCTGGACTCCTTTATGCAAACATATATACTCAGCCCATCAGGTTCGTGCCTATAAAATAACAAATTATCATTCTTCTTCACTAAATCATCTATTTAATTGTTCCTTGGGTTTATGGAGCCATGGCTTCTCTAGATGTTCTAGACTCTCTAGTTTATGAGATAAAGGTTAATGTTCCTATAGTCCAGCCCAGCCCTGGTTTTACTTATGTCTTTTCTCCTGCATCCCTCATTAATATATACTGTATGACTTGATAGCTTTTCTAATAAAAATCAGATTCATTACCTACAAGCTTCGTGGTAAACCTTTAATACACTGTGAAAAGTTAAAAAAAAATAGCATTCTGAATATTTGACTTAAAGGTCTTTTCTGGTGGTTTTCTTTAATATCTTTAGACTGTTGTTACCAGAAGCACCTCCAAAGAAATTCCTAACCTTGGGTTCCAAGTTCCGGTACAGTGGCAGGACGCAAGCCCAGACAAGAAGAGCCAGTGCATTGATAGATCGCCCCGCGCCTTACTTTGAACGTTCATCCAGCAAACGTTACACCATGTCTCGCAGCTTGGATGGAGGTAGGCATTGCTCACTGGCTCTTAATAATTTCTAGTAACTCACCAGGAAGGAGTGTCATGAACATGTGTAAATGTAGATCTTCTTGGATATTATGAAAGGGAAAGCAGCGGTGGATCTGAACTAAGTGGGAGATTTTGAACATCCCCACCTCCAAAAGTAATGCCTTTGTCAGTCTATCTGTAGATGTGTATAAACTGAGATAAATTAGGCACTTTGAGAATGAGGAGCATAGCTTTCATAAGCCAGTACCCCAAATTTGGAGAAAGATGGTCACATTCTAAATATAGGAGTCAGGGACTCCAAGTAATTCTGTTCTCTTGCCAGCTGACCTGAAATGATTAGCAATTTTGTCTCAAGAATATTTGTTTCAGAAATAAAACTGTAGGCTTAATTTATCTCTTTTACTTAAAAGGGTTTATTTATTTTATTTTTTTAGGAAAAATGTGGCCTTTGTTAGTCATTTATGATAGCTAGGAGAAAGGATGCTATGTAGGTGCTCTCTGCTATTAAGTCAGATAAGCGAGTCAGATGACTAAGACAGGGGCAGAGCCCGGTTCCATGGCACATGCCTATAATCCCAGCAACTCAGGAGGCTGAGGCAGGAGAATTTCAGGTTTGAAGGCAGCCTCAGAAACTTAGCAATACCCTGAGCAAAAGAAAAACTAAGAAAGGGCTGGGGATGTGGCTCATAGGTTAAACACCCCTGGGTTCAATCCCCAGCATGCCACCCCACCTAAAAGAAAATCAGGGACAGCGTCACTTAGATGACCTTCCTAAGGAATAACAAACAGGAATTATTAGTCTGTTTTTGTCTTGTCTATCAGTTGTGTATTGCTTCTGTAGTAAGATGGAGGGCGGCTTTTGCCAAAAGGCATGCCAGCTACAGTGACACTTAGGACCTAAGTCATGCCTAAGCTTCCAACTTGTAGTTCAGAGAACTTGGAGATTAGTTGTTCTGTTGAAGACCCATCTTATGCAAATGAAAAGCTTTAGATTTCTGGCATGCATGTATGATTTTAGTAAGTAACAAAAGCATAAATAAAAGTTACAGGAACCTAGAATCATCTCTGTCCCTCTGTTTTTTTGCATCTGCTTCCCAAGGAATCTCATTTCCCCTGCCCCTGCCATCCCTAGTGTAGTTGATGGGGGCGACATATTATTTCCTGAATCCCCTGATTAAAAAGACAGTATTTTCCTGATTGCATAATTTAGAAAACTGTTTGTAGAAGAAATCACACTTGTATTGTTAGTGCTATATTTTGTATGTTACTGCTAAAATGAGAATAGCACTCATCTGGCAAGAAAAACTCAAGAGTGAATCCAGACTCCGCTGTCCTCTGGGTAATGGTTGGCAAATGATTTCAGCTCTCCAGGTCTGAAGTAGTTTCCCAGAAAATGGGAATTAGGCCATCTTCACAGGGTTGTTGTGAAGATACATGGAGAAAACAGTCATTGTATAAGATATAAATTATTTCAATAATTATATTGATGACGATTCTTACATTTGTGAGCTGGCCCAAAAAGTTAATTCCAATTGTCTCTTTGTATTTGTGGGTTCCAAATTCTGCAAATTTCTTTTTATAAAAATCACAGCTACACTAAATATATACCGACTTGGTTTTTGTCATAATTCCCTGGATAATACAATGTGACAACAATTTCCATAGCATTTACAGTGTGTTACTTTATTATCTAATGATGTAAAGGAGAATGTGCAATTATATGCAGATACAGCACCGCTTTATATGAGAGACTTGAACATCTTTGGATTTGATATCCATGGGGCTCCTGGAAGCAATCCCCCAGGGATACCAAGGGACAACTGCACCATTCTGTATCTTCTAAGATTTGCAGAATACCAAACCTAGAGCCAACCCTTTAGAATAAAACATGTACCAGAACTGTTTTAAGATATTGAATATCTGTGATGTAACACTGAAGTTTTTCTTTTTTCACTTTGTCCCATTTACTCCTCTTTATAGAATCTCTGTTCACTGTTTGTACATTCTCTGTGTCAGTACTGAGGAACTTTTGTAGAATCGCACCTTTTTTTCCCCACCATCTACTTTGTTCAGTGATGTGTGCCCAAGGGAGCACATTTCTCGTGAATGTTGTTTTCCTCTTGACCTTTTGTGTGCTAATGACTTCGGAGAAGACGGAAGACAATTGCAAAGTCAATGTACTAATATCATGGTGTCTCTTCCTCCCTGCCCAAAAGTGATGTTAGTATGTGTTGTCTCCCTCTTGGTGGTCCTGCCAGTTCTCGTATGTTTTCTACGCTGCTGAGCTGGGGGCCGTGGCTGCACGTTGGAACATAAATTGCTTTTTTGCAAGGCGGCAGCATCTTGTAGAAAACAGCCTAACTGGTCTATTAAGAAACCATACAAGCTTTCTCATCGATAGAAAGACAGATAAAATATCTTGGTGAAGATATTTTAGTAGTTTAGCTATCAAAAGGATCTCAGAAAGGATTTCGTTTCATAATCCTTTCTCTGTTTTAAAGCTCCTAAAAGACGAAGGCAGATTATATTTTGTCTGTGATCAACTGCTGTGTATTTGAAAAGCAGTGTTTATTTTTCATGATATCAAATTTTTATAATCTAAAATAATGAATACCAAATAATTTGGACATCGAACTGAATTTTAGCATCTCTTTCACTGAGACATTTTAGCTGGTATGAAGGGCTGTGTCTTATATCTCTTATGTTTGCACGCTTTGCATTTGCATGAATTTCATTTAGCAGCATTTGTCTTGTTTTCTCAAAATATTAGAGATGGGAATGAGTATATATGCATCTCATCATGGCAGACTGTTTAAAATGCAGTGGATATTAAAGCATTTCTCTATTTCACTTGAATGGAATTACCATCAGAATTTTATAATCTGTGCCACAACATGGTTAATTTTCATTATTACCCTTGGGGCTTTAATATCGTAGGAGTGTTCGTTTTTGTTTTTTTTTTTAGCATCCCATAATAATAATAAAACCAATTCAGTGCTCTTTGGTAAATGTTACTTCCAAAAATGTGTTCAAAGTCAAGTGTATTAGAGTGTTATCCACTGCTTTGAGTTCCTGAACTTGCCACTCAGTGCCTGGTGCTGGTGCCCAGCCAGGGCTCTCAGGCAGCAGGGGGTTCAGGGGAAGCCCAGTTTCACCTCCTTCCATTCTCCTCCACCCTCACACACACACCCTCACCAGAGAGCATGAGAATGGGTGGGCATTATTCTGGACTTCAAGACGTGAGCATTTAAGTAATTTTAAACTACACGGTCTAGGTGGAACAGAAAGTCTATGATATCTTAGATTCTTTTCATGTCAAAGCTGGTATTTTGTAGTGGTATTTTCTTTCCCAGTAACGGGACAGTGGTGTGGTTGATCTCTCTTCTACTTAACAATTTCAGATCTTATTTCTCCAATTGTATTTGCTTTTAGCGTCAGTGAATGAAAACCATGAAATATACATGAAGGATTCTATGTCTGCTGCAGAGGTTGGTACTGGCCAGTACGCCACAACAAAGGGCATCTCTCAGACCAACTTGATCACCACTGTGACTCCGGAGAAAAAGGCCGAGGAGGAGCGTGACGAGGAAGACGAGAGACGGAAAAAGGCTGAGGAAGCCACGCCGGTCTCAGCCATCCGGCACGAGGGAAAGGTACAGCTCCCAGGCTGCCTCATAGAGCTTGCTCCAGCTTAACAAAGGCTCAGTAATGCTGAGAATGGAACCAGAAATGTGTTGAGCATAGGGTCGTTCATAACTCAGCGCTAGTTACAGTCATATGTCAGTTTTAAAATTACTATTCCTATTTTGACATTTTTTTTTACTCTGAAAGTTGCTTCCTTAATTTTTTGAGATTTTTTACTTTAATGAGGAATGTGCTACGTAAGACTTTCAACAGCTGTCCTGTGTCTGTCTCTCTTAAAAATTCTTTGGGTGGTGGAAGATGCCTTTCTGTTCTGGCTCTCATTTCAGAACTGTCACTAAAGCTATTTTCTTTGTTTCTGGCCCCATTCTCCTACCCAAGCTTGATATATTTTTCTAGATATACGATAATCACATTGCCATTCTTCTAACCACAAGTATCACAGGCCTGTGTGTTTATAATTCATCTTCCTTAGTCTTATAATTGTGATCTCATCAGGAAAGGAAGGAGTTAGTGGCCATATTTTAAAATGGGATGTGGAGGTACAAGTGTGCACAGGAAGTTGAGAAGTGGACTTATTGGTGTTTTCTCCAGGTGATTTCATGAAATCATGCCCCCACCCCCCTCCACCAAATTAAATTTCTTCTTAAACATGGTTTTTAAATATCAGACTTATTTCTGGTGACCCAGCAGTATAAAGCAACTTCTTAGGAAAACAGTTTTGACCGTCAACACATGGGAAAGTTTATGCATGATAATCATGGAAAAGCAGAGCAGCTATTGGAACATATAAGGTAAATAGAGGAAATAGGGGAAGAAAAATGCTCATGTCATCTATGGGTTATCCTGAAATATGAGTTTGCTCCACTTACAAGTGCTCCCTTAAGTGGGCTTTTCAAATACAGATGGATGTGATAGAAAATCACCAATTTCGACTCCTTGGAAAAATATTTTTTTTCCATAATGATTTTAACAACAGCATCTTAAGGGAGGGGGTAGGTCAACAAATAATTTTTGTAGTCAGAATATTCCAAGTGACCCAGTCCATCATTTTTAAATTTTGCTCTTTTAGGATAAGTTTCCCTAATTTGCCAAACCAAAAAAAACAAAGTGCAGGGATATTTGGATCACTTTTGTTGCTTTGTTCTAAATTTCATTTTCACACTCTGTCAGTTGAGTCAAGGGCTGGTTTTAACTGGGACATGAAATGAAGATAATATACCTGAAAGGCGAAGGTGTCCTTCTTACCCTTGGTTATTACAGAATTTCTCAAGATTGTCCATGCCAACAAATTATCCCCATGGATGTGTAAGTGGAATTAAGTGGCACACAGAGGTAAATTATTTTTAGTTTACTCCCCAAATAGGTGCAGTCAGTCTCACTTTATTCAATTTTAAAAGACTACCAATTCATTTATGTAACATGTAGCACTGAGCTATCCTCACCTTGTGCCATTTATGCCATGGGAAAATAAAAAAAAAGAAAATGACTCCCCTCATTGTGTGATCTCAGCAGAGCCAGTGCTTTGAGCAGGGCGCCTTCAGGAGGCTGCATAGTTGCCAGCTGTCTTTAATTCCCCCAAATCTTTAAAAAGACAAAGTTGTCTTTGAAAAAACCACATTCATAAGCAGAATGGAAGATTAACCCTTAATTTTATTATTTTCTACCTCCAAACAGTAACATAGAGGTACTTCTTTTTTAAACCAAAATGAAAACATATTATTGCAAATAATTCTTAAAAGACCGGTCCCCCAGAATTGGCCTGGGAAGGAAACTGGTTTCCCTGGCTTTTTCCTTCCGCAGGTCAGAGGGCCAGTCTCACCACCAGAGGACAGTTGTCTTCAAGGTGACTTTGTAACGTCTACATTAGTCTTAGAGATTTTCACAGGTTCCTGTTTAAAATGCAGTCTTTAATGTCAAATGGGAGTGTGTGGGAAGACACACTCCTGTCATGGTCCAACGAGACACTTCTTCTGCAGATATATTCAAGAGACACTTTTTTTTTCTTTGTGCATTTTCTTTCCCTCATGTCTCAGATGTAATTTTACTTGTACATTTTCTTTCCCTCTGTTGCTGTGTTTACCACTTCTCTGTAAGTAAGGATTGGATAACCATCACCAGGCAGTCAAGGCTGGGTAATTTCCATGCTCTCAGGTCACTAGGCATAATACACACACACACACACACACACACACACACCAACAGAAGTCTAATTATCTTCAGGCTCCATGTGCCCTGGCCTTGAACTTACCAGGCTATAGCAGCTCCTATGCTCTGCTCAGAGTCTCTGCTTGCTTCCTGTCTTCCCTTTCTTGCCCAGCAGCCCCTCCACCACCTGCATAAGAAACCAGCTTTGGGCATTGAAACCGCCAGGGCCCCAGAGAATGGAACTAGGTTCACTTGTCCCATGAAAGCCAGAGCTCATCAGGGGGCCACTTTTGTGCAGATGCCTGCTTTAGCATTGTATTAAGGACTCAAACCAAAGGTATAAACATGCCCTTTATCTACTAAAAGAAATCAGGAGGCTGGGAAATTGTATCTGTCTATTATTTATGGCCCACAAATAATAGAAACTAACACATAGAAACTGTATTACAAGGAAACACATTATTTTAGCTGGTTAGCTTATTGAAATGACTTTGAGTGTGAGTTCCACTTACACCCTGCATAAAGGAGCCAAAATAGAAGACTTTTCAGAGCAACCTCAGTCCTTTGTTGGGGAGTCAGAGTTTCTGAAATGCTAGTTGTTGAATCCTCCCCCCATTATCAGATAGGAGTGGGGCCAGAAACTTCTAGATTTGCAAACCCACCTATTTGGGATATAGTTGACTAACCAAGGAAAGGAATAATGCTAGAAGAAATTTTTTTTAAATAATTGCAATTGGAATTGAATTTTGTTTTCATTTTCTAATCCAGCTAAACCATTGTAACAAATCTATTACCTGGAGATCAGGAGAAGGTTATTGAAAGTCTTGATTTTGATTTATTGGAGAGTTATATTTGCTCTCAGAACCCTCAACCTTCCTAGAGTTGTCAGTGTACTATGAAATTTTTTGATCATGGGAAACCTGTAGACATTGGGATTCCACCCTGTTATATGATGGTCTGATGGGAGAACTGTAGCCGTCTGCAGCAATGTTGGCATGCAGCTTAACGACTTAAAAATTCCCAAGCAACCCTACTGCTAAAATTCTTGTTTTACGATTTTATATTGATACCCATAAGAAAATTAACTAATTGCAGTTTTCTTTTTGTCCTTTTGCACCTCTGTTTGCTGCTTCCTGTCTCTCTCTGTCTCTTTCACATCAGTCACCTGAGCTTGGCACTGACTCATGTCCCTTGTCACCTCCATCAGCCCATTCTGACCCCACATCCCCCACTGAGCTCCGTAGGAGGTGTAAGGAGAACGAATGCAGAGCTCCGGGTTCCTCCCCGCCCAGAGCCGAGCATTTGCAGGGAGAGCTGGCCCTGGACTCTGACAGCCAAGGGAAAGCTTACGTAGGGGATCAGGACGTGGCATTTAGCTACAGACAGCAAACTAGCAAAGGAGCCACTTTGTTTTCCTTCTCCTTACAGCTCCCTGAGTCCTTCCCCTCCCTCCTAGATGATGATGGGTACCTCTCTTTCCCCAACCTGTCTGAAACCAACTTCCTGCCCCAGAGCCTGCAGCATTATCTCCCGATCCGCTCACCCTCCCTCGTGCCCTGTTTCCTCTTCATCTTTTTCTTTCTGCTCTCCGCCTCCTTCTCAGTGCCATATGCCCTCACTCTCTCTTTCCCTCTGGCTCTGTGCCTCTGCTACCTGGAGCCCAAGGCGGCCTCCTTGAGCGCCTCCCTAGACAATGACCCGAGTGACAGTTCAGAGGAAGAGGTGTGTACCTCGGCATAGAACACACTTCCCCTGCGTGTTCCGTGCTTCGGTCCGAAACAAGTGTTAGCCGGCTGCTGCGATAGTGGTCCTACTTTCAGAGCCTCATTTATTGTCTGTGCCAATTATGTTGAGGTTTTGTGTGTTGGGGAGTCCAACCCAGGCCCCAGGGTTAGGCACAACACCATGTGGATGCAGCAGTCTGAGTGCAATCCTGAATTCTCTGCTACCCACTGAGTCCTAGGTAGGGTAAAGGACTCAGCCAGAAGTCAATTTCAAATAGCCCATTAGCTATGTAAAAGATCAGGGCTAAGTTAAAGTTTCTGATCAGTTATCATCTTACAAAACAAATCACATATAAGACAGATAAGTAGCTTCCTGCTTAAAATGAGATTCAAGGAGAGATAGAGAGAGCATTGCCAGAGGGTCCATGTCACAATCTCCTGGGTAGCTTTCCAAATATGCAAACTAGTCTCCTGGAGATTCTGAAATGCCCCCCCCCCCCTACTCTCCTTGATTACAGTTATCTTTATTACTTGAGTAGATCAGGTTCCCTCATGCATTGGGTCAGAAAGGATGTCAACAACAGTTTGAAACAGCCACCTGTCATTCGTCATTGATAGGACAAGAAACAGGACCAAGAAGACCTGCATGCAGTACAGCAGTGTCCAAATACAGTCAGGGAAGGATTTATTTAAGTTTTCTTTACATTATAAAACCAGGCTGAAATTTTGTCTGTGTTAGCAATGCCGGTGCATAAATCAGATAGCAGTGATTCTTCCAATTCCACATGAGACAAAAATCTCCCCATAAGTTGACAAGAGGGTCAAATCAAGAAAGCTGGTGAGGTGTCTCTGGCCCTAAACCAGGTATTGCATAGTGGAGGAAAGAATCTGTCAGCATGTGGGTCTCCCTTCCTCATCTCAGCAACTGGGCGAGTTGAGGGTACAGCCCTCAGCAGCTTTTGCTCCTAATTGTTCCTGTTTCCCACTTCTCCACAACCCTGTGAACAGCACAGCAGCTTCCCTTTCTCCACACTTCAAACAGAGCGTAGGGAAAAGAATAGAAGCAGCCGCCAGAGGAACTGGCTGTCACATCCTCTCCCGCCTGAGCCTCTCCCAGGCTGCCTCCAGTTCTCCTGTTTCCACAAAACAAGGGCTTCTGAGACAGGAGACACATGTGCTCCTAGCATTTTAAAAAATATACATCACAAAGTCAAGGCAACACACACACACAAAAGAGACTATTCAGATTCATGCTCAGCTAGAAAGTCATAATTTGAGGTGCACCTGTGAGTATTTAGTATTGTGAAGGGGTGTGAGTACCTGTATTTAGTGATATTATAGCCATTTCTGTACAGCAAATGGAAAAAAAAATATGAATGATCTCACAGGTGCTGTAAATGGAAGTCTAGTTTTGTTTTGTTTTGTTTTTTTTTAATTTGATATTGCATGAGAGTCTTTTTCAAAATTCTTGGGCTATGAGACTATTAGCTCCAGCTGTCTCTCCCCTACCCCTTTCACCCTCTCTTTCACACACATACATGCACACACACATACACATACGTATCTTTTTGTACTTGAAAAATAGAACTGTTTTAAGTCCAAGGCTTTATTTTTACTATTTCTCACAGTAGCAATATTATCAAATAGCATAGAACACTTTACAATTAAGAAGACAATATTATCTATAAAGTTTGTGTATAATATTAGCATATTTCCAACCTACAGATGTTTTTCCTTTAGCAGTGAGTTAGTCCTGAGTCTAAAATAAAGCCAAAAAAAAAAAAAAAGAAGAAAGAAAGAAAAGATTTCTATTTTATGCTTTTCTAAATTCTAAAGAACTGAACATTTCCATAGCCAGCCACACAGAGCTTGTGCCTAATCCAGGGTATACATCTTGTTGTAATCGGTGCATGAGAGTTAATGTAAACTTGGGCATGTCTGCATTACATCAGCAAAACAAATCACAGCAGTTCATTGTTGCAAGTCAGTGAACACAGGATGGGAGCTTCCCAGGCCTGGCTGTCCTTGTTATTGCAAACCTCTGAAACCGTAAAATAGCGCTGACCACTGCAGTCCTTGCCACCCCCTTCCCCAGACTTAGCCTACTACAGCTCTTCTGCCACCAGACTTAGTATTTCACCATCTGTTCAGTGTCGACTCTTAACCCCAGGTGCAAAGAGCTGTGCATACTAGTTCCACTTGAGCAAAAGAAGTCATATTTAGGTCATTCGGTTTTAAAAAAAAATTGCAGTTTGCTTACATGGCCCATTTTATTCCCTGGGCCTCAAGCTCTTTGGCAGCTTAAACTGGGTGACTTCCCATATAATTCATCTGTCACGTTCCTTTTACAAAATCACTAATGACAGTAGTTCTTTTTACATCTCTCATATGTTACAGTGGCTAAATCATAGTGCCAGCCTTTCTCAAAAGTGAACCCCAGTATAGAAAGCATTAAATCATTTCAAACAAAAAAAGTGGTTGGCCAATCATTTCTTTTCTTCTATACTTTCAGAATGATCAAATAAGAAGGACAGAATATCAAATCATCTGTCAAGAATCATAAGATAAATTTAGCTCATCATAACATGTAATTGTGAATTTCTGAGTAATTTTTTTGATAATACAAAACAAAGAGGTTCAAATTTGGAGAAAAAGATTGATCCCCTCATTTATGCATTCTAGTTTGTGGGAAATAGTATTATTGTATGGTAACTGATGGTATGCACACCTTTTCTAGTTTTGTGTAGTCATAATATATTATATGAACAGCAGTTGCTTAAAAAACTGCTATATTCAGTTTTTCTTACTTCATTGACTGTTGATCAGGTACTATGTTAGTTTACTAAGTAGGAATTTGAGGGAGTTTATAGCTTTGGGATTTTGTTTTGTTTTATTTTGTTTGAGATGGGGGTCTTGCTATGCTGCCCAGGCTGGCCTCAAACTTGTGATCCTACCTGCCTCAGTTCTTTCCAAGTATCTGGGATTATAGGCAGGTGCCACTACACCCCTTTTAAGGCAGTTTAGATATGGCTAAAGATATTTGATTATGTTTGCCAAGGAAACTTAATAATTATATAATAGGTTAATATCCATATATCATTATAGGCAATTTTTAGCTCTATCCATGTTAGGCATCTTATAAAGCACTTAGTATCCACTATCCAATATAATTTGTCATGTTATTTCCCCTGTTTTCCAAGAAGGAAACTGGGATAAAATATGAAATACACCCAGTGTATATAAAATATGAAATACACCCAGTGTGTCACTAGTTTGAACAGCAAGGATTTGAGGAAATTGTTCTGACATCTGACCCCTCACTTGAATCTACAACTGAACTCTAGTGCCAAGATGTTGGAAAGTTACTGAATTAAATTTTAAAACCACATGGGAAATGATCTATGCAGGAATACAAATATCTCAAAGAACTTGAGAAGTGTTTGACACAACTAATTAGGACATTAAGCATAATTATTTCATGAAAGCTTAAGATCTTTGAGTTATTCTGTATGTTTCAACAGTAGCCTGTCTTTTTCATTCAAATTGATCTTTCCTTGGGCTGTCAGTTTGTAAAGCCATGGTAATACCATAACAATCACCCTATAAAAAAATTCACAGCCCCTCTGCCCCAGTTGTTAACCAAGGTGGTCAGATCATGAAAATATATCAGCCAGGCTTTCTTCTCTGAAAGAAATCTACTGAAAATTATTTTCTACTTGGGTTTAGTCAGATGACAGCCTCAGGTCCATACGCCAACATTGCAATCTGACTCCTTCTCTTTAGAAATTCACAAAAATGAAAGTTTAGGGACAGTGCCAAAAAATCAGACTGGCCATAAGTCCATAGAGAGAACAATGTCCCAGTTATCACTTCCTGACATTTTTTTGTTTTTCAAAGGAAGGGATATTTTAAGAGAGATTCAAAACTATAGAGCCCCCAGTTCCAATTTTTATTTTCAAAATACCAGTCCAAAAATTTGATCAAGGGAATGTTATGAATAATTAGTTGACATTTGAAGAGGGTAAGTCCATTAATAGGGTGTTTAGATTATGTCTTCATTTCAAAGCTCATTGCTCTACTTTACCCCAGAGAAAATACTGTTTTCAGTCATAACCCCCTATGAAACACATTGAAAACCTGTCCTGAAATCATTATTTTAATTCTCCCCTAAAATCCTAGGCTCTGTCAACTGCTGTGCTTTGTTTTATTTGTTTCCAAGTAGATGTCTCTCTCTCTCTCTTTCCTTATTTTTAAATGATTTTTACTATTATTTGCATCATTTGAATGGTATTTTTTGCAATGAGATATTTAAATACATATTTTGATATACCTCTATATTAGAGGGTGGGATAAAATAAACAACATGTAGTCTTAAAAAGTACCTATTAACAATGCTACTTGAAAATTGAGTTACATTTTTCATCTATAAAACATATGCCTGTGAGTCACTGGCATGTGCTTTTTATAATTCATAAGTAATGCAGACAGCCTGATGTTCGTAAATGGGCATAAATTATCCAAACCGTATAAATGAGGGGCTGAAAGTCCAGTGACTGTTAACAGTAGCTTTTTATGTAAATTTGTACTTTCACTTACCTTTCAAATGTGATATTGCTAGAATGAATGAATGAATAAATAAATAGAAAATACATAAACCTCTTTTATTTGCATTAAGCATTTTTAGGAGGGCTTTTTCGGGATGTTAGTGGAAAGGGTGGGAGGAAAGTGACAAATTGGTTTTCGTGACATGTAGCACCAGACAGGTCAGTGTGGCCCACGCAGTCCCTGCAGTTCCTGCGGGCTGTGCGTGCCTCGGGTCTTCCTCGAAGGGGGCTCTGTTGACAACCCCTAGCTCTGGCTCTTCTTTTGCTTTGGCTTGAAGCTGCATTCTTGTGGGAAGGTAGTATGCCACAGATCCCAGAGAAAGGAAATGAGCGGTTCAACTTATAGGTAACCCCGCTTGACCAGATGGGTTTGTTTTCTATCCCTGCCTCCTTCCTGGAACCTGATCACCTCTGCGCTCAATAGACTGACAGTGAGCGAACAGACACCGCCGCGGATGGAGAAACCACCGCCACCGAGGTTGGTGTTCCACTGAGTCTGGCTGGGAGCTGCCTCAGGAAAATGGCCCAGGGGGTGGGGGGAGCCCTCTGCAAGTATGAATGCTGCATATTAGCTTTGGAGTGGGGATGAATTTGAAAATTCTAACTTCCAAAGTAGGAGTTAGATCCATTCTTAATTGCACAGGTCAGTGGATCTCAAACTGGCTTGTGCCGGACGGAATTACTCCTAGGGCCGCAACTTCACGTGTTTTTCCCTTCGGAAGGACTGAGATGGGACTAAAGAATTTATGTTTCTAACAAGTTCCCAGAGGAGGTTGACTATTAATTCTAGGATTATATTTGGAGAACTACTTTCCTAAACTGATAATACCTTAAAAAAGAAGGGGGTGGGGTGGGGAGTAAGGAATGCAGCTAGGCATGGTGGTGCTTGCCTGTAATCCCAGCTGCTTCTGAGGCTGAGACAAGAAGATAGTTCAAAAAAAAAAAAAAAAATTGTGAGTGTGTGTGTGTATGTGTGTGTGTACGCACACATGCATGCCCCAAAAAGAGCTGGGGGGATGTGGCTCAGTAAAGCATTTAGTTCTTGGGTTCCATTCCCAGTACCAAAAAAAAAGGAGAATTTTTTTTCTCCTATGTCAAATGAGAGGCTCTTTTTGTATGATACCCTTGATTTGTGAGATAAATCACAATTAATTTAATTAGCTTGCTGGCTGGATAGATATATAGTTTAAAATCCCAAATAGTAAAATAATATTTGTTAACAAAACGTACTTAATTTGTTTTTTGTAGCCTTTGGCTATACTACAGGTGAGTCATAAGGAATGAATTCTCAAAAGAAGAGAAAACTGTCGATAGACTTACTTTATTGAAAAAAAAATGTAATCGCATTAACGGGAGAGAAACAGTGCTATTGATTCTCCTTTGTTAATTCTTTAGAATACATTATATTGTGTGTATGGGTTTTTGTCATTTTTAAAACATGCACTATCAGTAACTGATTCAAATTTCTGTAAAAAACAGTATTTATCTTTAGTAATGGAAGTTAAGATGTTTATTTTCCAGAGTGCTAGAGAATTCAGTTTGTACTTTGCAATAAATTTTACTTGGGGTCTTATTTTATTTTTTACATCATCCAATCATAAACATATTTTCTAGTTGGCTATTTAGGAAGAAATGAAAGTACTGTTACGTTGTACATCACTTAATCTCAGAAAAAAAATATTTCATAATGGTATATTATTAAGTTTCTTCTTTTGGAAATGCCATATTTTAAAGAATTATAATTTTTTAAACTAAAGGGTAATAGTGTGAAGCTATTATCCAGTTTCTTTTTAGCAATTATAAGTACACTTATTAAAAGCTAATAATTTTCTATGCCAAATATAAAAAAACTACACCTTGATTTTGTAAGAGTTAGTGACATAGGCTCATAAATTCAATGAATGTCTCCATCTTTCTGTATGCTGTAAATGAAAAACATTTAATAATAATACTTTAAATTTCTATAGCAGTTTTAAAACTCATTACAGAACACTTAAAGCACAGAAGCAAATACATTGAACAGTAGATTGTGAAGAGCTGTGAACACACCACACCCTTGAGCATCAGGACGTCACCAGCACTGTTAGTTTCTAGTAGCTCCTTTCCATCTTTCCCTTCCCTTTATATGGCCAATGCATGGGGTCTACAGAGTAGGTACTCGACCCCACTGGCAGATAAGGAAACTGATACCCTTGTAATTGAAATTATATGCTTAAGGCCACTTGCTTGAGAGTGACCCTTGTTTTACCTGTCATTTCACTCTGCATGTCTACTTGGAGCACAGTGGCCCAAAGCCCAGGCTCTGGGTCAGAAAGCCCTATGAGAAGCACAGCTTTACCATGCAACCTGTGGCTTGGCACACTTACCTAATTACTGGTACTCACATGTCCAAGTTGTAGGCAGGTTGTTGAAATTAGACAAAGAAGGATAATGTAGTAGCTCGGGGTATTTTCTAAAAATATTTTAGTACTTTTTTAACTCAAAAGTTGTCCTTATTTTAAAGGAATGATGCTGCTATTGATGACAGTTCATTTCTTTTTCTTCTTTTTTTAATTTTTTTCTTCCTTAGAAAAATCAAGGTTCTTAGGGCTGGAGTTGTGGCTTAGCAGTAGAGCACTCATTTAGCACGTGCAAGGCCCTGGGTTCGAACCTTAGCACCACATAAAAATAAATCAATAAAGATATTGAGTCCAACTATAACTAAAAATATGAAAAAAAATAAAATCAAGGTTCTTATAAGTTTTAAAATGTAAGAATCTCTGTGTTTAATTCTTCCAGCCTCAGTTCTTTGATCCACAAATTGGGGGTTGTGTAGCTAACCTCATAGGACTCTTGTAAAGACTCATCCACTGTAAGGTAGCTATCATTACCACGTAGCCATAGCCCTTCTTAGAAATTGTAATCTGGCTCCCCATACCTCCTGAACCATTGGTGATGTTCATTAAGAACACCCTACCAAGCCCTTGCTGCCACCTTCCCAACCACGTACATCTGCTCATCAAAACACCAAAGACCCAATGGGCAGGAAATCTTTCCCTTCTCAGTGCTTGTTAAGCTTCATAATTTGTGAGAGTGTTGTGGATTGTGCATAAGAAAGAACTGCATCATTACACAAGTGCAAACCAGTGCCTCCACTTAGCAAGTTTATATAGGGCTTTTGAGTTCTCTAATCTCAGAGTAAATTGCATGGTAAGACTTTATTTCCCACTCTTTCTTGATGCTGGCAGTCGGACCAGGAGGAAGATGCAGAGCTCAAGGCACAGGTAGAAAATTAAAAGTAAAACACATACCAGTGCGTGATAAGTCATGGTCTGTGTACGATGTTCAGATCTCAGCATGCTCTGTAGCTGTTACCATGTCGATGGTGCAGTGCGCAGGATGGAGTTTGTTCCCTTGACTACGGTGTCCCTTACCTTTCCCTTTCTTCTCCACTTTTTTCAGAATAGTCTGATTAAGCGAATAAAGGGTGAAAATGTGTATGTCAAACATAGTAATCTTATGTTAGAGGTTGGTATTGGTATATACCAGTGCATGTTTGTGCGTGTTGTTTTTTCCCCCGTAGTGGCTTACCTGTGGGCTCGTACCATGATGCATGAACTGTGTGCTCATCTGTTAATAAGTGGGGATGACTTCTCAGCCTACTCTGATTCCTTATCCTCTCCTAGATGTAGATCCCTTTTTCTTCTGTGTGGACTTAATTTAGTTCTCTTTGGTCACATGTGCATTACATTCCTTACAGTTTTTACCTTTCAAAATTCTTTTGTTTTTTTATGCTTGTGTGAATTTGATTTCTTTTCTCTCTTCTCTAGAAAATATCACATTTTCACCAGAGTGTGTGTGTGGTAGTGTCATGAACCCTCTTCAAAATTATTTTCTTTTGACTACTAATGAGATTGACTTGACTTTTTTTTTTTTTTGAAGTTGAAAGCCAACATGAAAGGCTGACTGTTGGATTCTTTATGTTCCGAATGTAGGAGCTAGATAAAACTCAAGATGAACTGATGAAACATCAGACCAACATTAGTGAGCTGAAAAGAACCTTCTTAGAAACCTCAACAGACACTGCCGTAACGAATGAGTGGGAAAAGAGGCTTTCTACCTCCCCGGTGCGACTGGCTGCCAGGCAGGAGGATGCACCCATGATCGAGCCACTGGTACCCGAAGAGGTCAGTATTCAAGCTTTGGGTTGGAATTGTCTTCTGTTCACTGGTTTCACTTCTCTACAGGGTCTGAAACTAGGAAAAGGATTTGGCAAACTTCTGAGTAGAGAACCTTCCCTCTTTTCTATATATATATCCTGAATTGAGATGCTCTGTGCTCCAGAGGAAAGCTGCAAATTAAATGAATAGGTGGCCAAAAAGCATGGTTTCAGGTGGTGCTGGCAATGAGCATAAAGCCACAGGCAGACTGTAGTGCCAACTGGCTGATTCTGACCAAAAAACCTGTATTTTACAGCAGAGAAATTAAGATACTATCATAGTGAACAGGTACTTTTTGTAAATGTCCTTCCTCCTTCTCCACTGATGAATGACCTGAAAACCCATGTATGTTTCTCATCAGTTGCAAGCTGGGACCTACTGAGATCATCTGCTGTTTGAGTGATCAGAAGTTGTTAGCATTTCAGTACACATTATTTGATTTTTCTGATAACTGATTATTTTAACTGATTTGTAATTGGTTTGATTTGTATTTGACTTTTTTAATGGGGAAATTACAGGACAAATTTCCTTTTTTTCTTTTTGGTACTGGGGATTGAACTGGGCACTCAGTCAACCCCTGGGGCACATCCCCATCCCTTTTTGTATTTTATTTAGAGACAGGGTCTCACTGAGTTATGTAGTGCCTCACCATTACCCCGAGGCTGGCTTTCAACTTGCGATCCTCCTGCCTCAGCCTCCCAAGCCACTGGGATTACAGGCGTGTGCCACCGCACTCAGCTGACAAATTTCTTTTTAAGTAAGGTTTAACACAACCATATCTAGTGAAAATGGAGTATTTTCAGGGAAAAAGACAAAGGAAAAAAATATCCAGTTCATACAAGCATAAAATTCCGAAGAATATTATAAAGGTAAACTGTAAGGAATATAATCTTCATGTGACCAAAGAGAGTTAAAATAAATACATAGGAAAAGGGCTCTCCATCTAGGAGAGGGTAAGGAATCAGAGTAGGCAGAGAAGTCATCCCCCTTTACTAGCATACAGTGCTCACATTTTGGTGGTACTTAAGTAAAGCTTTTCCATATAGAAAAGCTCTCTTTCAATATATAGCCATAGTAAGGGTACAGCTGGTGTTATTTCAGGGCTCCCATTGTGTGGGACCCACAGATTACTATCTACTGTTAGATATCATTTTGCATTATCTCTCTTCCAAAACAAGCAGGTTTAGAAAACTGCATATTTGGGGCATTGTTTTGGTTAATCTCCTTCTTTAACCAAGACCCCTTTCTTGTGAACTGTTTGTCCAGGAAGCTGACACAGAACAGAAAATTAGAACTTATGCCTTTATGTGTGAAAAAGCCTTTAAACAGTGATCTGTAGGCCACATTCAGGTCCTTGCAGTGAAATTAAGAATCGAATTACGCTCATTGTTGATCGTTTTCTAAACCGCCTTTGAAAACTTTTTATCAAAGTGACCAAGATCTCACTATTGCTGTATTCATGACAATTTCAATACCAGCTAAAAAGTACCCATGGGAATTACTTTGTAAAGGGCCTTTTATGCAGAATAAATGAAAAGTACCTTTACCCAAGGTATGCCTGTACCACGAAACACCACTGCCATTCAGAGGACTTGAGTTTCAAGAGACAAAATTTTCTCATTCCATGTTTGATTTAAATATTATAGTTCTTGCCTTGTTAAGAAGACCACTTGTCAGTTATGCTGTCATAAATTTTATTTTAATTGTTCCAAGTTTAGCCTCACCCTAATTTTTGCCATTTCTTTTAGAATAATGTGCTAGCCCTAAAGATGTCAGACAACTGGACTAAGTTACAAACATACATAATAAGTAGCTACCCAAAGCATAACAGACAAAAGGAGCAAAATGTCTCTTCCCATTGCTAATACTTAAGAAAATGTCAGGTGGTAGCCACTTTGAATGTTTTAGGTTTTAGCTTATTAGAGAAGTTAAAGGGTGGTGATAAAAACAAGGGGGACTTTTAAAAAAATCAAAGCCATTAGAATGGTAAAATATCTATTTTTTACTTCTGATTTAATCCTGATTCTTAGAAAATGATGTTGGATAAACTCCAAAATGTTATAATTTAAGGAGGTGATATTTTGACTATAATGAACTTTCCATGGATGTTGGTACCTTTTCTGTACTTCTCTGTCAACACATATTTCCACAATGGCCTTTTATAATGCAGAGAGGCCTAGCCCATGTTAGGGATATATTCCTTAGTGGTTACTTGAATACCCAAAGTTTTCAAATCCCAGCCCCAAATCAGTATCCATCAATACCTGTGCAGCACCAATATTGTCCCGTTTCATGGGAGTGGTAGATTAAGAGGTGTATGTTCACTATGTAACTCCTTGAGCTAGATGCTTAGCATAGTTGATTCTCATTATCCACAGATTCTTAATTTGCAAATTCACTTGCTCCCTAAATATATATATATATATTTGGTAACAGGGATTGAACCCAGAGCTATTCAAACACTGAGCCACATCCCCAGCCCATTTTTTTCTTTTGAGACAGGATCTTGCTAAGCTGCTTCAAGCCTCTCTAAGTAGCTGAGGCTGGCTTTGAACTCACGATCCTCCTCCCTCAGCCTCCTGAGCTGCTGGGGTTACAGGCGTGCACTACTGTGCCCAGCTCCCTAAAATTTATTTGTAGAGACCCTTAATCACCCAAGAGTGAATGACAGTTTTATAAAGGTGTGCCAGAAATAGGACCTTGTTTCCCAAGTATAATACAGAGATGAATGTTTAAGAAACTAATGTTATAACAGTTGGGATATACTATCTGATTGTTTTCTGAACTCTAATGTTAAATCCTCTTTTAGATTAGCAGCTTCTCTTTATCAGCACTTCAATTAGTAGTAACTACTCTCTAGTAGCTGAAGTAGTTGGGTTGGAAGGTTGGCCATGTTTAAAAGTTAAATCTCAGATCTATATCCCTTTTTGGTATATTGTTTCTGTTATGGACATACACAGTTCTACATGTAGCCCGTGCTGACATTTCCAATGGTAAGACACACAGACATTTTAAAAATTAGTTTGTTTCAGACAACAGAGTATACCGAAAACCACTTTAGCCACTGGGCATTTTTTTTAAAAAAGCTTTTATCTTGGGAATAGTATGAGGAATAAGATGTAGTTCTGTGATTATAATTAGAGGCCCAGAAATGTTATTCTAAAAAGTACCAGTAATTTTGACCTTTCCTTCATGTTTCTCATTTCTATTTGAAAAAGAGGCTATGATTGAAAGTTTTAAAAGGAAGGAAGAAAGCATCAGATGATCTTCATGTCATGATGCCATATAGCACATTTTATGTTTTCCAATGCCTTCCTTCAAAATTGCAGCAGGACAGAATTTTTTTTCTCCTTCGAATAATGTTTTTTATCTCTCATTAGGAAGGGTCATGTGAGTATGGCACTGTCAAAATCTCAGTAGCTCCTGTAGGAAGTAAGTGCCAGATGTTCCACTACAACCTCTTGCAGGCAAACCATTCGATGTAGTACTTATCAATACATTAGTAGGTAAACAGGAACTTTAAGTAGTTTCCTAAAATTATATTGTTTATAATGATAAGATTCATTGAAAGAGTTCCATTGTTCTAGAAACTTTGAACATTCTATGATTTGTTTTTAGACTAATTTTCCAAAATATCCTTCAGTTCCTACTCTGTAGAGCTGTATTCTGTGCAAAGATAGACTTGGTAGCTACTGTATTGCCACTTGAATTAAAGAAAAAAATCAGGTAGTTTAAGAAATAAAAAGCTAGTGCCTAACATGAAATATTTACTTTAATGTTTCTTAATTCTATAAAGAAAAGTATGATTTAGTCTGCTTAATTTAAGATATTCTTAAATTAACTTCAAAATTTATTCACCATGTTATAAAAGTTCAAAAAAAACTTGAATTTTTGTTTATTTGTTGAACAACAAAGCAATCAGTCTAAGTCCACCTGAGCTTATTCAAATTGGCAGCTAATGAGCCAACAACCTTGTGTGTATTTCCTTGCTCTACAGCAGGCTCACCTGAGTAAAAATGTGTTTCCTACTTAAATTTTTAAAATTTCTTCCTTTTTTATTTTAAGTACTCGCTCATGATTTTGCAAGTAACTAACACAAACACTGTTAAAATGTAAAGAAACCCTTTATTTCCCTCTAGCATATTTTGTAATCATAGAAATGGAAAAATGTTTGAGTCATATGACCATCCAACTTTCATAAAATAATCTACTGCTGTTTGTAAATAATTTTTAAATTTTGAGATGGTATCAGACTATTTCTTACATTAATAACAATGATTTACTTCTTCAGGAAAAACAAAATTTTCTATATATATATATACACACACACATTTATATGAATATATGGATATATACGTATATATCCATATATATATGGATATACAGTTAAAGGACTCTCTTCCTAACTTGCCTTTTTGGAAACTGTCTACTTCCTCTTCTCCAACCCAACCCCCTTTATTCAAACAGACCAAAGAAGAAAGAGAGATTTCTGAAAAAGTTATATTTTTGCAGCAAGGAAGTGCTCCATTCCTTGAGTCTCAGGTAAAACAAACAAACAAGCAAAAACGATTTTCTAAAGGAACTGTTCTTCAGACTTCAGTGTCATTAAAGTATCTTTAGTTTTTATTTTCCTTTTAAAATTATCTTGTTTCAAACTAAGGTAAGTGTATTATTTTTTCTTAGGCTCTGGGGAAGGGGAAAATAATTTTAATATGTTGGTTATCATTTATGCATAATTTCTTTATGACTTCCAATCCTAGGTGATTACATATTACCATTGAAGCATTTTGATTGTACTTTCTAGTAATAATCTTACTGAAGTTTGTACTGCCTGTTTTTACCCGTAGAGTGGCGCTAATTTAGATGACTTGATTGACTTTGAAAGTTCTGAACTTGTATTGGTTTTTCCCACTAGCCAAGTGTGATTAAGAAAATACAGGAAGGAGACTCTGCTGATTCTGTGGCTACTTCTCGTCAAATAATTTTCCAGAAAACTGTCCCATCGGCCCTAGAGGTTATTTTTTTCAATTCATTTCATTTAGTATAACACCAACATGTAGATCAAACTGTGATCATTCTTCTTAAGGCATACTTATTTCTAGATTCAAGTTTCCAGGCTACAATAAGTACAAAAATAAAAAACTTTCTAGTAAACCAAGCTGTTCACCTCCTTCTGGTTTAATTGCTCTTCCCTTTGTCACCTGTTAAACTGGTCAGCTGTTAACCTATCACTTCCTATTCGGTCTCCCTGAATGCAAAGTTTTCTTAACTTTAATCTGCTTTGTTGGAGCTAACATTAAGCAAAGAGGAAGTCAAACTACTGAGACAGTGAACTTCAGCTGTAATTAAGATCGGGACCCTGAACAGACCTCTCAGGCTTATTTTAAAAAGATCCCAAAGTGTCTGATCAGTGGGGAATGTTTCGTAAGGATGCTGTGAACACAGGTGCGCTCAATATTATTTGAACGATAAGTGCGGTCATGGATTCCCTTTCCCATATAAGGAAGCACAATCTACAAACGTGGAAAGTGATGTTTACAGAAATTTGTAGAATGTTGGAAAGTTCTTTGTGGAAATTAATGGCAAATGAACTTTATTATTGTATTTATTATGAAAAACTTGCACAATAACTTCAATAATGTTATCTAATCTTGAAATACAAAATAATCAAATGTGCATCTTGCAGATAGATTCCTTGCAAAATTTACCAAGAAGTTCTGTTCCTGTTAAAGAAATATGAAATTGTAACCCTACCCTGCAGGATACATTTCAGGATGAAGGTTATAGTTAGTTAATTTCAGAGGAAAAGAGATAATAGCCATAATTTTTAGATTAATAACACCGTCCTGGGCAGTCCCATCGCAGACCTATGTGTAGCCCCGTGCCTGATTTTCTTAAAGGGTTCTTATTTTAGAAATGGGATATCATCAGAATTTCTAATCTAGCTTTTATATTTTAAATATAGGGCACAGAGGATTGGGTTATTGTAGACAAAATACCCACTGAGGTAGTTGGTGGTGATTCGAAAAAGATTGTGACTTACAAGGTGGTGACGGTGAGCAGTATAACTGGTGACATCCCAGCGGACATTCTGAAATCTAGCACTGTTGAAATGCAGAGCTTCGATGATTTGGCCCGAGAATTGCAACTGAAAGAAGAAAACAAACAGAAAATATACACTCTAGGAAAATCCTACGACACCGTCTCTGGAAGAATCGTTACTATGACTGGGAAAACCAAAGATGGGGAGAGAGGAGCGCAGCCCTCCTCGCTAGAGGCCCTTCAGAAAATGGAGAGAGGCGTGTCAGAGTCAGGGAAGGCTGTTTCCATCCTGACAGAATACGAGGTCCTGGAGTCCCTGGCCGATGACAAGTCCAGGCGAGGACCCGAGGTCCAGACGACAAAGCGGAAATTGTCAGAATCCCTGGCTCCCATCAAGGAAGCCGAGTCTCGCCGGCAGAGTCCTGAAGAGGATGACCTCCAGAAGGCTGCAAAGCCAGGGGAGGGTGTGGCCGTCCACCCTCGCCCAGAAAGTGCCCGGTACAGCATAACAGAGCAAGTACCAGATAGTGAGGTCTTAAAAGTGGGACTCTTTGGTCCCCGAAGGAAGAGCCTGTCCGAGTGGAGATATTCCCAGGAACCGGCCTTTACTGTTGCTACTGCTCATTATGTCACCGAGTCGTCCGCGTCCCGAGTGGTGGTAACCAGCAACTCTCATTCGGTTGCAGTTTAAGATTCCAGCATGATGTTATTTGAAGCAGTACCCTTCCACCCCAAACCTTTCCGTTTCTCTTGCTGCTTGGCTTTATGTTGAGAGCAGCCAACCCAGCTTTATGATTTTTTTTTCATGGTTGAGTCAATACCACAGTCTAAAGTCAGCATTAAAACACTTTTCTGTTTTATTTCCAGCTGCCCGTTCCCAAGATTTGATAGCGCTGCTGTGGCTTGCAATGAAGGAGAAAAAAAAAAAAAAATCTGCTTAAATCAGCACTACCCTGTTCCTAATAACTCTCTGCTTTACCAAACAACAGCTCATGGTCACCCCACTTTGCTATTTTATTTCCCATTCTTTTCTGTTTTCACAGTCCGTATCTTGGATTCCTTCATTTCTCCTTTCTTTTTTTTTCCTCTGCCTACAATTTTGTCTAACAAGCTGTGAATGTGTATGTGGCTAAGTATGTGTCTGTCTCTTGTGCTTGACTCTGTCCATTTCTTTGTCCTCTCAGACTAAGCAGACTTCTGGTGAAAAGCTCATGGATGGCTCTGAAATCTTCAGTTTATTAGAGTCTGCGCGAAAACCAACAGAATTCATAGGAGGGGTTACTTCTACTTCTCAAAGCTGGGTGCAGGTGGCCATTTGCTTCCATCCTGGGGTTTCTGAATGTTCTCATCTGCCTTGCTCTGTGCCTTTGGGGGGCGGGTTGTGTGTTCGTGTTTTGCATTCAACATTCCAAGGTGTCTTCCGTGATTGTCCTTTGTGCCTGCTTGGTCATATGCCTTTCGTTCCATGTCAAGAATACGCCTCACATATTCCAGAGGCAATCACATTGAGAAATTGTAATAGCATTTAATTTTTAGAAGCATTTTATCTCATCTGTTGGGTCTGAGAAAAACAGCCAGAACCAATGCAAATGTGCTATGATGCTTCCGTTCATTGTTTTTCACTTGCATATTTTATTCTGTTTTCTTTTGTGGATGCCGTGGAGTAGCAGCATAGGCTCCAGTGTGTATGTTTAGCAGGAGGCATGCAGCAAAGCTTCTGGTGGGAGGAATGGAAGCTAATATATAATTTCTATCAGTGTTTCTGATTATAAGCAACTGATGCTGGCTTTAATCATTGTAGTGAGTGGCGGCTTTCATTTTTCTTTTTTTTTTTAATTTTTATTTTTGTTTCTTTGACCTTTGGACTTAAGGAAAATCACTCTGATGCCACACTGTTTTCCCATACAGAAAGTGGAAACCAAGATGGAGTCCAGTGAAACAGAGACAGAAACCACCCCACACCCCCAGCCACTCAGCACTGAGAAGGTGGTGCAGGAAACTGTGTTGGTGGAGGAGAGGCGTGTGATGAACGTGCACGCAAGTGGGGATGCTTCTTACACAGCTGGGGAAGATGCAGATGCTGCAGCGCAGCCCATACCTACTGAAGCAGTCAGTGTGAAAGAGAAGGAAGGCTCTGCTGTGACAGAGGGGTCCAAAGAGGAAAGACAGGAAGAGTCTGCTAAGGCTGGATCTGAGCAAGAAGAAACAGCCCGTGCTTCCCAGGAGCAAGAAGAGGAGCAGGGTGCAGCCACCCAGGTTTCTGAAACTTCAGAACAAAAACCTCATTTTGAGGTAACTAGTAGCTGTCGTTACTCTGAACACTAAACTGATAATGTAGTGCCCTGAAATTTTGATCAGCATACAGATGGAGCTAAGTTCAATCTCCTGCCTTTCCCATGTGGTTTGTTTAGCCTGGTTCCTTTGCATATGGCAATTAGGGGCCTTCATGCTGGTTTTCAGCTTTGGGGTCATTTACAGACATATCTATTGGTTGTTAATAATGCATAGCTCCAGGAAGTGGTTTCTGTCATTGAAAGTCTAATTGGCAGCCAATCTGGAGAAAGCATCGTGAGCCAGGATATTAGAAATTCTGATAGTCTTATTCCTGAGTAGTGTACTTATCCAGAAGGACCAAAGACTATGCCTTTCCATTCTCCAAGTGTCAAGACTTAGTTCTTTTTTTTTTTTTTTTGTATTTTTCTTTTTATACATGACAGTAGAATGTATTTTGACATATCATATGTACATGGAATATAACTTCCCATTATTTTGGTTGTATATGATGTAGAGTTACACTGGTCACGTATTCATATATGAATATAGTAAAGTTATGTCCAATTCATTCTACTGTCTTCCCATTCCCATCCCTTCTCCCTTCCCCCGCCCCTACCCCACCCCCTGCTGTCCAATCCAGCAAATCTTCCCTCCTCCCCACAGACCTATTGTGAGTCAGCATCTGCATATCAGAAAGAAAATTTAGCCTTTGGTTTTTTTGAGATTAGCTTATTTCACTTAGCATGATAGTCTCCAGTTCCTCCCATTTACCAACAAAGGTCATAAAGTCATTCTTATGACTGAATAATATTCCATTATGTATATATATTGGTTGTTAATAATGCATAGCATTATTACATATACATATATATATATACACATATTCTTTATCCATTCATCTGATGAAGGGCACCTAGCTTGGTTCCATAGCTTAACTATTATGAATTGAGCTGCTATAAACATTGATGTGGCTACATCACTGTAATATGTTGATTTTAAGTCCTTTGGGTATATACCAAGGAGTGGGATGACTGGGTCAAATGGTGGTTCCATTCCAAGTTTTCTGAGGAATTTCCATACTGCTTTCCATCAATTTGCAGTCCCACCAGTAATGTATGAGTATAACTTTTCCCCCACATCCTCCCTAACATTTATTGTTACTTATATTCTTGATTATTGCCATTCTGAGGAATAAGGTGAAATATCAGTGTAGTTTATTCTTTATCCACTTTTAGGAAGATTCACAAAGTATTTGGAGAGTTGATGTCTTAATGCTTTGTTCCTTCTTTTAACAGTGATTAATTTAAAGGCATATTTACGGATGAGTTTAAAAGATTGAAGAGAGAGAACATGAAAACTTTTTTAAAATTCCTTCAAAATCTTTTCTTCACCTCAAACATTCCTTATGAATAATGCTATGGGGTTTTGGGAGATGATTTGACATTTGTCTGTTGTGTGCCTTATTCTTCAGTTTATCCCCGTGTAATGTGTGAACACTGATTTCATGTTAACCTGTGCTTTTATCAAGTACTAAAGTACCAAAGAGGAGAGAAAAACAAAACAAAACAAAGTTGTGTTGGTCCAAACTGTAATAGCCATCTGTTCACTTCCTGTTGGCACAGTCATCAACTGTGAAGATGGAAACCATCAGTTATGGCAGTGTTCCCACAGGAGGAGTAAAGCTAGAAGTTTCTACCAAGGAAGTGCCAGTAGTTCACACAGAAACAAAAACCATCACATATGAATCGTCACAGGTAAGACAGTCTCTGAAGGCCAGATCCCTGGCACTTTACATTTTCCTCCTCTTAGGGTTGAGTGCACTTAAGTATAGCTACATAATATTTAATTCATGAGACCTAGAGGATCCTGCAGCCAGACCATCTCTACAGAGAGAAATGCAATAATTGTCATTTTATTACTGATCATAAAGTAGCAAGTGACTTCACCAGGTCTTCATAGATCTTGAAATGGAGAAGGCAGCTCAGAAACCCAGTTTTGTCACTACAGATGAGGGAAAATATGCACTTAATCATCCACTGCATACATTTCAAAGTCCCGGGTTGTTGTTTGTTTGTTTGTTTTTAATGCCAGTTAGCTCTAGCTGTGTTCAGCTCCCAGGTTCTGCACAGTGATTGTGAGAGAAGATCATCCTTCTCCATCTGTTGGGGGGGACCTTCATGGACACTAAAAACTGCAGATGCTCAAGTTGCTTATATAAAATGCTATATCATTTATTCATAAAACATATTCACATACCTCACGCACTTTAACTCATTTCTAGATGCCATAAAATACCTAGTATGGTATAAATGCCCTGTAAAGAGTTGTGCTGTGTTATTTAGGGAATACTGACAAGGAATAACAATCAGTATGTGTTCAGTACAGCTGCAGTTTTTTACTGAATACTTGCCGTCCTTGGTTGAATCCTCAGATATGAAACACATAGATTCAGAGGGCTGACTATACTTCAGTCATTTTAATGCTTTAAATAACATAGCTAACTCCCAAAGAGGAAATGTAAACACCTGAGGGTGGTGTCTGTTCCTGCCCTTGCTTCAGGTGGATCCTGGGGCTGATCTGGAGCCAGGCGTGCTGATGAGCGCACAGACAATCACATCGGAAACCACCAGTACCACCACCACCACGCACATCACCAAAGTAAGTGAGAGCGCAGACCTTGAGAGCTAGGGGATGGTGTTCATGCAGAACTTCTGACAGATTAGTTGATAGTTAATTGACTGTCAGGATGCCCAGGATAGCTGCAGAGGGAGAGTCTCCAATTTTTAGGTTTGTGATGCACTTGGCTCCATAATGATGGAATATTCTTTCCTTTTTTAATGGGGGAGGCAGAGGTGCGGGTACTAGGGCTTGAACTCAGAGACACTCAACCACTGAGCCATCCCCAGCCCTATTTTGTATTTTATTTAGAGACAGGGAGGGTCTTGCTGAGTCACTTAGAACCTCACTATTGAGGCTGGCTTTGAACCCACCATTCTCCTGTCTCAGCTCCCCGAGCCACTGGGATTACAGGCATGCATCCCCCGCACCCAGCAGGAATATTCTTTCTGGTGTCCTGTGCCTAACATTCATTCCAGTTCTGAGCATGGGTAGGTCTTCAAGAAAAACTAGCTAGCCAAACCCAAAGGACTACACTCAATCCTCACTTCTGAAATTAAACACGTTAAATAACTGCTGGAAAATTCTATCTCAGTTGGTGATATTATCTAAAACTCTCACCATTTTCTGCCATTCCCTCTGTGGAATGGGGATCATTCCTGCCAGTAAGCTGATTCACAAAGCTTCTCTTTGTTTCGTTCAGACTGTGAAAGGAGGCATTTCAGAGACGAGAATTGAGAAGCGAATAGTCATCACAGGAGATGCGGACATTGACCATGACCAGGTAGTGTTATGTGAGATGGTAAATCCCATAGCAGAGACACAAAGACAAACATGTTTGCCCTTCAGTTTCCAATGTTATTCTTCTAGTTCAGCATGTACTCTAAAAATCTTTCTGAATTAGCTTTCCTATATATGATTTTTGATTCCTTTTGTAATCATTGTACCTCATTTGTAAATTGTGGATGCAGAATTAGCTCGTAAGTCTACACCTTGCTAGTGATCATGCATGTCCGACTCCTTTCTGTTTTTGCCCTTCTGTGATTTCCTGGGGATAGGCTCTGGCTCAGGCAATTAAAGAGGCCAAAGAGCAGCACCCTGACATGTCAGTGACCAAAGTAGTGGTCCATAAAGAGACAGAGATCACACCAGAAGATGGAGAGGATTGACCAGAGGTAAGAGGTGATGCTCATTCTCTAGGCTTGCCTAGGCTGGCATGTGGCATGGGGCACTTCCCCCTCCTCCTTTGCCTGATCCTCCTCTTCCTATTTTCTCCTCTCACTGGTATTTCGGGGGCTGGTTACCAAGAGGGTGAAGAATTGGTCTGCAGGTGCCAGTTTGTCTTGAGATTTGGAAATTCCATACTTGGGTATGTTTTGCAGCTACTGCCATTTAGAGGAGAAAGGGAGAGCAGAGTCTGCTTGAGTGGTCTCACCACCATTCCCTTTAAATCCAGGCCCTGCACTCTTTACAATATCCAAATTTGAAATGTCAAATTCGACTTCACTTCCTGTGTACTCAGAACTAAAGCAGTTTTTGTTCAGAGAGATGCCATTTGTGTGTTCCAGCTACCAGGGAAATTAAATACACCCCTTTCTCCTTTTGATGACCTTGTTTCTTGGTAGCTTGCTCTTTGACTATGCCTACTCATGCTTTGGGGGTTTTTTTGTTTGTTTGGTTGGTTGGTTCATTGTTTGATTTCGATTTGTTAATTCAGAACCTGGACACTTTCTTTTTGGGTGTCGGTACATTTCCTGCTTATGTGGGATGACTTTCCCCCTAGTATACTCTTGTCTCAGGAGAAAGCAAAAATGCAGCCTGGTGATCCTGTTTTCCTTCAGAAAGTGCATGCCTTGCTAGCTGCTGTGTGGCCAGCATCATAGCAGACCAACAGTCTCCTGTGTGTGTGCACAGACTTGCCATGCATACTGACCTGCTGTGCAAGAACTCATGGGCCTGTGAGCATCCCTTAGAGGGCTCTGAATGCTGAGTGCAACAGGGAGCTATTTGCATCTGTGCTTAATGGGATAAAACACTGAAGAGACTTCATAAGCTTTGTAACCTCAATTTAAGAAGCATTTAGATGGACAAGCAGCATCTCTTAACACAGAAATATCAAAAATCACTTACTACATTCAAACTAATAATATATTGGGAAGATAGAATGTAAAGGAAAAAAAAGATTTCCTTCAGTAAGCTTTAGCCACTTGGGTATGTTGTCATTATTGAAGAGAAAGCATAGTGGCTTGGGATGGAGTGTTATAGTATCTTGTCAAAAAAAAAAAAAGAATAATTTTAACATCCAAGGTACTTTTCTGTGACCTTGATCTGAGGAAACTTCTCGCGTGTTTTCTGATGGATAACTAATCGAATCTCTTTTCTGCAGGAATAATTTAGCTTGCACATGAATCCAGTCATGCAAACCATTAGGAAAACCAGAGCCTATATGGAGTTCCCTCTTCTAACCCAACTGACTTGTATCTGTCCGTGGAAAATTCCAATCCAGAAGAATTGACCTTGACTATTAATAAAGACACTGGCAGAGAGATCTTCCCATAATAAAGCAATCCGAATCAGCATCACTAAACTGATATTGCATGAAGCAACGATAAAATTACAAAAGAGCAGCATTTTTAATTTTCACAAAAACGTCTCAGTTTCCAGCTCTACCTGCACGTTCCATAACCAACAATATAAACCGTGATCTCATGTAACACACACAAAAAAAAACAACCCATACCTTTCATAGTTCATTATTATTAAAGTCTCAACAAAACTGCAATTTCCTAGGTGACAAATCTTTTGTTTACAGATAATTGAAGATTACCCTAAAATGCTAGAAGCTGTCTAGGTCCAGTGTGTCGGACTGATCTCAGATTAGATGTGCCAATAACCGAGTTTATTCAGTAAACAACTTGAATCTTGTACTTGTTTCATCTGTTTTTATTATTATCATCCATACACAGTAATGACTCTCTGACCCTCTGGAAATATTTAATGCTTACAATCTTGCTTTGTGTATCTCACTTAATTTGTTAAAAGGTAGTACTGATTTTAGCATATCATTCATGTGATTTCTTTCTTGTTGTTAATATTGTTCACTTCCGTCTGCATTTGATCTGGAAAGCTCCCCAGAGTTCTCCAGCAAGACCCAAATATGTAAATTGTCATTGTTTGGGGGAAGAAAACCTGTGTTTTTGTTAGTTTACAATATTATGAAATTTCACTCCAGGACAACCTGTTGGACTTCTATTGCTTTGTGTTCTTTCTTTGTTTCTTTTTTTCCTTGTATTTTTCCATTGATTTTTTTTTTTTCTTTGACGTGAAGTGTTTTGTTTCCAAATCTGGTCCATATTTACAATCTAGTTCAGAGCCAAGCCTTAAACTGTACAGAATTTCCACTGTAATTAAAATTATTGAGTGTTTAGTTATAAATAGCCTTCAAAAAGATATATTCTCCACCACACTGTCCACGCATCACAGTCCATGGTGAATGGTGTTTCTGCATAGTGAAATAAAAATGGCAAACGCATCGAAAGCTCTAATTTTTCCATGTTTAATAATTTCAGTATTATGTGTGTTTAGCCCAGAGCTAACATTTGCATGACATCAAAGGCCTCATTCATCCACACTGTAGAGACATCCTGTCTGTACAGGATTAAAAAAAAAAAAACAAATGTACATGGTCTACAGTGTGTGGACCCTTGGAAATAGAAATAAAATATGTCTATATAAATACCTGGGTGCCTGCAACAACTTCAAAAAGAACATCATAGAATCTCATGTTCAAAGTTTTAATTTTTTTTTCATAAGGAAAGAGGCTGTATGTTTCTGGGTGCTTTTAATCTACCAAAGGGACATCTCTTTCAGACATCAGCTCCACAGCTGAATAAATCAAACTGCATGCACTGCAAAAGCCTGGACAGCCTGTTCCCGCAGCTCAATCGCGTCAGACTCCTCTTGGGGTGGGGACTAGGGTGAAGTTCCCAGTATTACTGACGTTTCCTACCATCTCATGCATTTACCTTTCTGATTTTAAACAAACAACAAAAAGAAAAACATACTATTAGGTTTGACCTGGCCTTATTTAGAGCAATTTCCTAGCTGGTCCTTATGTTTCACTTGAATTGTGTTTGTAATGAATCAAAAATATGTTTTAAAAAAACTAACACTTCATTTATATGAAAATAGTGTCATCTAAAGGATGCCTACACTGGGTCTGCTTTGTTTGTACCCTTCAAGTTGTACCCATGTCAGCTATTTTAAACCAGACCCAATGTTATCAAGGTGCCCCCATCCTTAGCAATAAGTACTCTCTTTGTTTTTATAAAATTACACATTACAAAGAAAGTTAGCAGCTTTCTTCTCCTTCTGTATGACACTTTTCAAAATTCTCCAACCTCCACCCATGGCTCAGTACCAAAGCCTTTCCCACATATTTAGGTACTTGTGACAGAAGTACCTCCCTTCTAGTATCAACATCTGATTTTTATTGTTGTATCCCAAATTGCCACAAAATTTGTAGCTGAAAACAAACTACAAACTAACAAACTACTAAGTCCTAGTTTCTATGGATCAGGGGTCTGGGTATGGGTTCTCAGGTTTCTCTAAGACTGATCAAGTGTCAGCTAGGGCTGTGTCTCATCCGAGGCCTCAACTGGGGGAAGGACACACTCCTGAGCTCCTCACGTCATTGGCAGAATTCACTTGTGGTTGTAGGATTTGGGAAGCTTCCTGCTTGAAAGCTAGCAATAAGATAAAACACTCTTAGCTTGTGTCTGCTAGCAAGACATCATCTAGTATAACATAACCAAAGGAGTGGCTTCCCATCTCCTTTGCCATAGTCTATTGATAAAACAAAAGTCATGACTTCTTCCCACAGTATCAACAAATATAGTGTGTAAGATTGGATGACACTTAACTGAATACTTAAGTAATCTCAGAGTATTTTGTTTAGCCATAACTACCAATGGTATGGAAAGGACCTCAGATATTACACTTTGAAAGAAATTGAAGAATTCTACTTAAGATAACTGTTTGCCTCATTGAAAAGAAAAACATGCTTCTCGATTTGTTCTAAGATTCAGATCCAGGAAATAAGAACGTATGGTTCTCTAAAGGCCATCTTGGTCCAGCCCACTGATAACCTGTACTTTCATGCTAACACCACAAGGATCTATAGAAGCATTAGTTATAGTGGTATCCAGCCTTTAATAAAAACTACATGTTATTTTCTCTGGACTCTCATAAAGTGAATTGCTGTGTCAAATGACTAACCTTCCTTCAGGAGAAATGCTCCCTGCTCTCCACCCACAGAGCTCAGCCTGGGTGTGTGACCTCAGTTTGTGTGGGTGCATCCTACTACTCAGGGTTGGGATTAATGGACAGAGCCTCAGTGATGCCAGGACACACTGCCATAGCAAGAGAAATGAGAGGGAAGTGCTAATAATGTGGGGATTTCATGTCCTTTCACTTTTCTTGGAAGAATTTCTCATCCCCTCCTAGTCTGTTTCTTTCAAGTTTCATAGGACTGCCAGAGCTCACAAGCTTAGGGCTCAGTGAGTTAGATTGTGTACTTTGTAGGGTTGCTCAGCCCAGTTTTGAAAAACAATTACTATAATCCATTTCATTTATTAACTTCTTTCTAGAACATCTGTTGCTCCATTATTTAAATTAGCACCCACCCTAGCTATCTTTTTAAAAATCATCAGAATATTGAATTCAAAAGTGTTTCTAACTTACAAAGCAGAGTTATTATATATTACCTTACATCAAATGCTTTCTCATCTTCCTCACTCCGTTAACCAGTGTAGGAAGTGTCTGCCTTGGATTGCCAAAGAGGTGGCCTTGTATTTTTAACAGTCATTTTACCCTTGAAGTAAAATCAAATTGTTCCTTTTTTTTTTTTTTAAATACATTTTTGTGGCAGGCCATCGGTGCATGTAAAATTGTGTTCTCAGAAACAACGTTTTGTTTTGACAGATAGTTTCTTATTGTGGCTACTTAACTCTGAGGAAGGGTGATAAAGGGGCTTGGGGCTCCCCCATGAGTGTGATTATTAAATGTGTGTGTGCACCCACACTACCTACCCGTGTTTAATGAAATAGAATTTCAGGGACACTAAAGGACGTCTAACTTGATAAGAAGAGGTCAAGTCTACAAACAAATAGAAGTAACTGTATGAGACAATGTATTCAAATGGGTGTCCTTTGCATCTTGTTATACAAGCTAGAGACCTGGGAGGTTTTCACGCCACTGTCTCCCTTGCTCATTTCCCCAGCTTGTCAATTATTTTTCTTTGCTGACTCTTAGGAACCTAACAATGGCACTGCCAACAGCCTACCCACCAGTGTCTTGCACATTCCCACCCTGACAATGCTTTAGATCATAGTTTCAGTCTCTTATAATCTAAAATTTAATCCTATCACTCCTGTATTTAAAATGTGTTGGCTTTCCATTGCTTTTAGTATAAAGAAAGGCCTGCATGCTTCAAACATGGTCTGAAGACATGCATGAGCCAACTCTTACCCACTGGCTTTCTAGTTACATATGCAGCAATGTGTCCACTCACCCTGGCTCCTCTCACCTGCCTCAGTCCTGTTTAACTGCAGGAACCATCCCCAGCACTACTCTACTCTGTCCCCATTTTAACTTCAGACTTGAGTTTAATAAAGTTCCCTTTCCTGGTTTTACCATTTGACTCTTTTACATGCTCTCAACACTATCTAATAGAATATGTCACCCAAGTTGTAATTTATACTTATCTTCCCAATTCTTTCAGTGGATCTCTTCTGTATGTCAAGAGTCTTACAGATGGTGGCTCACCTCCAAGCTCAGTTCCTGGATTTTACAGTAGTAGTGCTCAATATTTTCATGCACAAACGAACATACTGATAAAGTTTTTTTGCTCTGATAAGTTTGAAACATTTTTTTTTTCCTGAATTTTCTCTGAAGCCCAGAAATGGTTATGGAGCTGATGGGAGAAATAGGAAGTGTTTCCATTGAAGGAGTGATTCCCAACGGAGCACACTTCCTATTTCAATCCTCCAATGGAACCATTTTCCATTTCACATCCTCATCAACTCCATGACCATTATCATTGAGACCAACAAGTGATGGTCTCTCCCTAAAGATCTATCCGTAGAAGAGATGGATTGGTTTTAGCTCCCTGATTAGCAATGGTATTTTTTATACCATTGATGGTCAGATACATACCATGTGATGGTCAGACTCAGATCAGTTGACTTCAGATTTTGATCTGGTTGTCGTATCAGAAACCTCATATTTGAAAGGGGTCTTAGAAGCTGGCATTTCCCTATGAAATCAGAATTGTAAACTTCACTAGATATACCATTTGTGGACAGTGGAAGTCTTACCATAACATCTCAGACATTAGTCCTTCAGACTGGATATAGTGGAGGTGAAAGAGTTAGTATACAGGCTTAAAACCTTGCAGTTATTTTTGACTGCTTTATTTGCTTCACAGTGTAAAAGAGCCTTCATATCTGACTTTCTTTTCATTCTACTGTAATCCCTCATCATCTGTTTTAGTCGGCTTTTTGTTGTCGGGACCAAAATACCCAACAATAATTACTGAGAGGAGGAAAAGCTTGGCTCACAGTTTTAGAAGTTCAGACCATGGTTAGGCAACTCCATAGCTCAGGTCCTGAGTGAGGCCGACCATGGGGCAGATGGGCAACCAGGAAGCAGCGAGCAAGCTGCACTCACTGAGAACAAACCCAAAGTCACACCCCCAGTGATCTACTTCTGCCAGCCACACCCGACCTGCCTGTAGTTACCACCCAGTTAATCCATATCAGTGGATTAATCCACCGGTGAGGTTACAACTCTCATAATTGATCATTTCACCCCTGACCCTTCTTGCATTGCCTCATACATGAGCTTTTGGGTGACACCTCATAACTAAACCAAAACATCATCTCTCATCTGGGCTGTTGCATTATCTCACTGGTCTCTAAATTCTACTCATTCATCAACACACCACCTCTCAATCTTTAGGCTGTTCACTTTCCTAATCATCAAAAAAAAAAGCACCTTCATAGCACAACCAAAAATCCTTCAGTATTACCTCCTCAGTCATTCCCTAAAATTCAATTCTAAATTCTTAAACATGACACTGTGTGTTGTGCTATCTTCCAGCTTTCTATTTTTTTTTTCTCCAACATTCCCCAATGTCAACTCTATCCTTCCACCAGCATGACCGGTAGAAGAATGCCCACAGCGGCATTGTTTTAATCAGCTTTTTCGCTGCTGTGACTAAAGGATCTGACCAGAACAACTATAAAGGAGGAAAAGTTAATTTGAAGTCTTAGTCCATAGAAGGCTGGTTTCATTTCTCAGGGCTCGAGATAAGGCTAAACATCATGGCGGAGTGTGTTGCAGAGGGAAGCAGCTCACATCATGGAGATCTAGAAGCAGAGATAATGACTCCACTCACCAGATACAAATATACACCCAAAGCCACACCCCAATTCCCACCTCCTCCAGCCACACCCCACCACTTCAGTTACCACTCAG